CATTCACTTTCCTCAACATAATATGAGGTTGAAAATAGGTTGAAAATAATCCTCAGATATTCAAATTCACATCAAATTCATCCACATGATGTAATGTGCTGCAATGTGTCATCAAAAGACCTCAGTAATTACGTATTTTCTTCTCTTTTTTATCTTTCATGTGCTCCATTAAAGATTTGTAAGAAATATACCAAAAAAGTTTTTTATTTTTTTTTTCCAAACTAAATAAATGTATACAGGATTTTTTTTAAAACAATAAAACTAAAACAGGAGCAGTCATTTCTGTTGGATTGTTTTACAATATCTCCCAAATATTTTTCCAATTTTGTTTTGCAATATGGGTTTTGCAAAATGCTACATTTTGCACCTTAGGAATAAGCATATTTCTCAAAAATGACTTGTCATATCTTTTGTGTTGTGAAGTAGATTCATTTTAGGCCTTCAATTGTGGGATAACAAACAAAATAAAAAAAAAATAAAACATATTCTAGTTTGAAGGATTTGTGTAGTACTTTACAACTTATGACTTGAGAAAATAACTGCTGAATGTCAGCAAATATAAATATACTGCCTTTCTTAAATAAACCAATGCTGCAAAACTTAAAAGAAAAAAAAAATCAAGTTGGGCCTTCCCTTTAAAAGGTTAACCTAAACAAACACACATTGCAAAGTCCACAAAGAATGGACAGTGAGTGATTTAGTTCAGTCAAACACAAGCTGTTTAAATAGTTCCCACAAAAAAAAATCCCATCCCAAGACAACTGAGCAGAATGGCTGCAAACATCAAGACTCTTGTCTGCATCGGACTTGCTGTTGTTTTAACAGGTAGGGAATGTTTGAGCTGTGAAAAAGTGGATCTATTTGAAATATTACATTAATGTTTATTTCAGGTGTCTTGTTTCTTTCTGTTCAGGTGTGGGAAAGTCTGCCTTTATTGGAAAAAGTCACAGTGGGGGAAAAGATGACCTGGTTCTGCAGTATGTAGTTAACAACTCCCTAAGGGAGCATCCAGTCCTCACCAAACTCAGATTGGTAAGTAAACCCTGAAACCCGTAATATTATTTTATTTTATTTTTTTCAGGCAACTGATGACAAAACAGAGCATGGGACCGTGTCTTTATGAATCACAGATAGTTTGACAAAACTAAAGTTTTAGTTTAGTTTTGTTTTTGTTATAATCAATGTATTATTATTATTATTATTATTATTTAGCATTGCAGGCTAAAAGTTGACCTCAGGCTTAACCTGGCAAGAGGTTAAGTGGTGATTTTCAGTAACCATCAAGCTGGCACCACTTTATTAACAGGGATGATAAACTGGTGTTTATGAGATAATTGTGTGGCAATAACAGATTAACCACTCTAACATAATTTGAATCTTAACAAATAAAGTTTGTAACATAAAGTGAATCATCTCTTGCTATTTTGAAGTGTGTTGAGAAACTCATGGAGCTAATGATCAAACTCACTTCTGAAACCAATGAAATCATAAGTCATTGATAAAGCGTCTTCCATGTTGTTTTGCTTTTGTAGCGAACAGTATTCTGTTCAAACTAATTATGCAAGCACTTTTTGATTGAGCAATATTAAACTTGATATTGATTTTTTTTATTATAATTTGTTTCTCTGTGAATGATTAACAAGATACTATTCAGGGACATTTGGCCAGAGGTTAAGTAATAACAAATGAATCATGTGTTCTTTGTTCTTTCTGTCTCCACTTTTTTTTTTATCTCAAATGTACTGTTTACTGAGCTCCGTGGTATTGTATGATACTGTATCCACACTAAAATTGTATTCACTGAAAAAGAAGTAAAGAATATCTTGTTACAGAGTGACAGCAGCATGGTCCTCAAACACTAGAGGGCAGACACACACCAGTAAAATGGAGCAACACGCCGTCTAAAGCTGCAGAACCAGTTCTTCTGTGTTTTCATTTCAGAGGACCCTTGAAGATCAATGGAGCAAAATGATGGTGGCAGCAGAACAAGCCCAGTTTATGGCAAATCTCATACGGCTGATCAATGCCACAAAAGCAATTGAAATAGGTGAGATAAGGTTAAGCATGTGTCGCATGTCATGTGGATTTGAAAGTGACAGAATAAATCACAAGTTTATAACAATAAATTATTGTGCAGAGCGATTTGTTTTCCTCGAATAAACATTTTGCTCACCATAATATTTTAAGCTAGATTCTTGATTAGTTTGGCTTTATTTCTTTTTTGAGTAAAGCAAGTCTTTGTCTTTACACAATAATTAAAATTTTATTGTAAAAATAAGGAAATATTCAATTCATTTCAGAAGAAAAGTGACAATAACTGTCATAGTTCAGAGCTTTGATCAAACCATTTAATTGTTGTCCAGCTTCTAGTTTCCAGCAGTGATTAATTTTTGTGATCAAATAGCATAATTCAGATGTTTACAGACAGTTTTCATGAAATGTTATGGACTAACCAATATATTTATGATGCAGGGATGTACACTGGATACAACGCTCTGAGCATGGCTTTGGCCATGCCAGAAAATGGACGAGTGGTAGCTTGTGAAATAGACGACACCTACATAGAAATAGCCAAACCCTTTTTTAAAGAGGTGAGAACAGAAAAAATAATAAGAAAAAAGAGAGAGAAGAAACATGACTTGGATTCCTCTATTGTGAATGTCCTAATGTTTCAAAGCCTTTAAAATAATCTTATTATCAATCCAGATTATATTACACAAGCGTACAGTTCTTGGTCTACCGACATCAGAATTTGCCATTTAGCTTCTGTCAGAGCTAATTTGTGCAGCGGACAGCAGATTGCACATTTAACAACTGTCAGTCTGTCTCCAGAAATCCTGCAGGCTGGACACTTTCAAGGTGTCTGCTCAGGAAACTGTGTTGCAGAAAGATCCCAAGCCAAGCAGTGAAATCAATGCCTGTGTAAACCCTGACAAAAACATTATTTTGAAGTGGCTGCATAAATCTCAGTTTATGACATGCTCCTTTTTATGCAGGCTGGAGTGGAAAATAAGATTGATGTTCAGCATCAACTTGCACTTAAAACTCTGGGTAAACTGTTTAGTTGATATTATCATTGCTCTCATACAGATGTGAGTTTTGCTTTTACTTTTTCATCTTGTGCTTTGTCAGATGAACTGAGAGCAGTTGGGGAAGCCGGAACATATGACTTTGTGTTCATTGATGCTGATAAGTCCAACTATGACCGATACTATGAGCAGTCTCTGGAGCTCATAAGAAACGGTGGCATAATTGCAATCGACAATGTGAGTAAAGTTTAAGTATTCAGTTCATGCTTTGACAACAAACATAAAGTGAATCATCTCTTGCTACACTGACAGGTGCTATGGAGTGGAAAGGTTGTGAACCCTGCGCCCAATGACACCACGTCACAGACTCTAGATGCTCTTAATAGGAAGATACACCAGGACCAGAGAGTTGAACTGAGCATGCTCACTGTGGGGGATGGGCTCACCATCGCTATTAAGCGTTAATGGGGGAGTTTTTACGACACAAATGTGTTGAACTTATAATGACACTATTCATTGTTTGATTAATCCGTTTACTCTCTGTTCACATTCTTTCTGTAAATTCAATTCTTATTAGTCTCCACAGTTTTAGACATCAGTATCATGTCATAGGGCTTAATTATAAATATATAAAAATAACACATTTTGAGCTGTTTTGACTGTTCATGATGTCCTTCTGTTCAGTGCATGTGGGCGAATAAAGCAAGACCACAAATGAGAAAACAGTGGAAAAAAACTGGTTCTGAGACAGTTTTTGAGACAGTTCATTTATATCAAAATTAAATTAGGTTATGTTCAAATAAAATTACTTTTTATGAAATAGTCATAATAGGGAAAGGAGAAAACAAAATGCTGTTTGCTCTCAGACAGTGAGCCACACATGGGTAAAATTTTACATGTCTGAGTATCCGATCTTCAATGGCAGTGTCTTCAGTCAGGTGCTTATACAGCTCTGCTGTATTTCAGACCACTACTGTCTTCCTACCCACAACCATCTACAACTCTTTAAAGATTTTCTCACATTTCTGTCTACAAAATATTGGTTTGCACAATGGTGGGTTTTGATGTGGCTGACACATCTCACTGTCCAGGGATCCATTCCACTAAAGGGAGCAGAGATGCCATTAGAGGAAAATACAATTGTAGGCTATTCTGTTTTTAAATACACAAAAATGGAACATGTCCAATGTCTTTTTAGTATCACGACTATCTTAGATTGAGATAAACATTAAAACAAGACAAAACAGGCCAGCTGTAGCTCGACTGGATTATTTCCCAATGATGAACTGATTGTCAAAACATCATTTTAATTGCGCAACCTTTTTAATCTGTGTGTAAAAACAACACATAGCAAAACCAAACATTTGTGCATCAGAGGTAGAAGGAAGGAGTCAATTCAAACAAGAACTACCAGTGTAAGCAAATGCGACCAAGTTCAACTCAATGACCGCAAGGTGCCCGGAACTTCATTAATACTTCACGCAACGCAAAGTGATTTAACAACAATCCTAAGACAAATGAGCCAAAACTCTGGCAAACCATCTTGAAGAAGACGCAAACATTTCACCCGATGAAAGGTCAATTCTACCAATCGCATGAAATGTCAGAACATTTCTCAGAGGAAAAGGAAAAATAAATAATTAAAAAGACAGAAATCTGAATGAATATCTCATTCCCAATTTTGAGATTTGACAAACAGAAATAGTTTTGGTAATCTAATGACATAGCGAGAAAAATGGCGCGTATTTTCATAGTGTGTGAGAATATCAAGTTTCATTGCAAATATAGATGTAACTGAACTGAGTGAGCAACTCTACGGCCGACATCTCCGTCTGTTACTTTTGTTGCTTTTTGAAAGATGTCGGAGCTAAAGTTAATTGTTTTTGTATTGACGTCGACGTCGGTGCTTTCCAACGTCATCGCTTTCTGCGAAAAAAAAAAAAAAAAAAAAAACGTGGAGTAAGGGTCCATTAAAGCACCGGCTGACGCGACACCTTTTCAGCACCACGGACAGCTTCGTTCTGCAAACTGGGCAGCTGGTGCGCGACTATAAAAGCCCGCACCGACGCCTCGCTCTCTGCGCACTGATCCGCACTGACGACATGAGCCACAGGATGGACGACAGGTTCGGCTTCCCTCGTGGAGCCCTTCACGACACGTATTCACAACACAAGCCGAGACGATCGGAACTAGAATCCAGGAGCGTTTCCGCGGACGTGAGCTCCCCGCACGCCGGGTCTGGACAGCGCAACGAGAAAGAGCTGATGCACGGCTTGAACGACCGACTCGCAGGCTTCATAGAGAAGGTGCACCGGCTAGAGAACCACAACCATCTCCTGGAGAGGGAAATTGAAGACATCAGGGGGAGAGTGAAGCCCGCGTCTTGCTTGGAGGAAGAGTATGGTCCAGAGCTGAGGAGGCTGAGGCAGCTGCTGCAGGACATCACCCACCAGAAGAACCAGATTGAGATCGAACATCACAACCTGGAGGAAGAGCTCTCCACCTTGAGGAAACGGCATGAGCGGGAGACGGAGAGCAGATCAGAGGCTGCGAACAGCATAGTGACCCTGAAGAAAGACATGGGCGAAGCGTACCAGGCCAAACTGCTGCTGGACCGGAAAGTGGAGTCGCTCGTGGATGAAATCAACTTTCTGAAGAGAAACCACGAGGCCGAAGTGTCGGAGATGTGCGACCACATTCAAGAAGCTCAGCTTAAATTTAAGGCGCACGAATTTGGCCATACCGGCGTCACTGCGGCACTCCGGGACATCAGGACGCAGCTGGAAGGTCACGCCGGGTCCGACGTCCAGCTGGCCGGGGAAAGTTTCCGAGTTCAGTTTGCGAGACTGACGGAGGCCGCCGAGGTCAAGAGAGAGGCGCTGAAAGCGAGCCAGCGGGAGATCCAGGAGTACAAGAAGCGTCTGCAGACCAAGAGCGTCGAGCTGGACTGCGCCAAAGGCACCAGAGAAGCTCTGGAGGCGCAGCTTCACGACGTCGAGGACCGCCACAAGCAGGAACTTATTCACTATCAGGTAAGGCATGCTTCTTCTTCTTCCGCTTCCTGTGGAGTTGACACACAGCTAAACAAGGTCATATTCTCTCTTAACTCAGAACACAATCAAAGAGCTTGAAAATGAGCTCATAAACTGCAAATTCGACATGTCCGGCAACTTGAGGGAGTACCAGGACCTGCTGAACGTGAAGATGGCTTTGGATGTGGAGATATTTTCATACAGGTATAGTAAAAATAGCATGAGGATATCAGTAAAACTTATTGATAAAAATAAATTAGAGGGACCTTGAATTATTTCATATATTGTGTGCTTTCTATGTCCATATTTCAATTTAAACGTGCAACTGTATTACTTATTAAAGGTAAGCCAAATAATTTGTGTAAAAATGTTACATACCAAATACCATAATACATGTAATGTAAACTGAAACTGCTGATTCTATTAATCAGTGGCTCATGCTTTATTGGTATAGTTGAAGTTAACGAGAACTATGTTTGCATCTTATATTTAAGTAAACTGTAGTTAAACACACAAATTGAATTAATTAGTATTAATCAACTGAGCCTATCAACTTAAGCTGCATTACAGGAGGGTTTTTTTAACAGTAGAAAAGTGTACTCCCCTTAAACTTTTCAGATTTTATCACATTACAACCACAAACGTGAGAGTATTTGGTTTGAGCTTTCTTAGATAGACCAAAAATAAGGTATGTGTAAAGAAAGTAACATTGTAAACAGAGGATCCTCAGGGTGAAACATGGGGGTGAAGAAAACCATGTCATGATTTTCTTTGACCAGGCCAAGGAAACTGGCTTTATAAGAGCTAAAAGCAGAGTAATCCCAAAAGAAAACCTTTTACAGGTTGAATGAAAGGTCAAAATTCAGATCTTTTCTTTTTGCAAGGCTATAAAATGTAAGTTTACAGACGCTTCCCAGCCAACCTGTCTGAAGAAAATGTCTATTTCTATGAACTGACATGGTAGAGATACCCAGAAGACCTGCAGATGTAAGTGAAAAGTATAGATTGTCCCATTAATTATGTCTTTGACCATAACAAAATATAAAATAGTTTAAGAAGCAAGGCAGTGTCTGTCAGATCCTTATATGGACTAAGCTGAGAAAAGCTTAGAAGGCAAAGAACTATTAGTGCATCTGTATTAAATGTAAACTCTCTTCCCCATCCTGTAGGAAACTCCTCTGTGGCGAGGAGGCTCGTCTGTCCTCCATCTCCGTCTCCGACCCGCAGATCCCCTTGCCCCATATCTACCATCAATCACCTATTTACACCCTCCCCAGCTTCAATCGACCAGGAGTCACGCAGAGGAGAGCAGAGCCCAAGTACAAGTTTGTGGAGGAGATCATAACAGAAACCACCAGGGAGATCGAGATGTCAGAGTTCGAGGAGACGGGATCAGAGGAGACGGATGTGGGGAAGGATGAGCAGGAGTGTGGAAAAAGTGAGAAAGGGGGCAGCGAGGAAGAAGGTGATCATCAGGACAGTCGAGAGGATGACGGAAACCAGATGTCTGACAGTCAGCAGAGTCAAATAGCCTCCGATGAAAAGTTGGAAAGTGAGGATGATGGAAAGGTAGCTGATGATGTGGAGGATAATAAGAAAGAACAAAACCACAGTGAAGAATCAGAGAAGACAGCGGCTCTCAGCGGTGAAAACATGGACACAGAGGTAGATGACAACAAACCGGTTGAGGACATGAAGGAGAAAGAAACTGCAGCAGTACCTCATAAAACAGATATCTCTTCAAAACAGCATGATTCAGATAAATCAGAGGGGTATCTAGTTAAATCTGATGAGGATAAACAGGGTTCAACTGGGGCAGAAAGCTTTACCGCAGCACAAAGTGTGAAGCCTGCTGATGAAACCGTGGTTTCAAAATATGAGGAAGATAACAAAACTCTACAGCACAGTGGTGTAGAGGCGCAGGAGAAAGCCAAAGAATTGGCTGGAGAAGAAGTTGTGTTGACGAAGATGGAGGAACGTGTAGAAATTGCAAAAGCACCTTCAACTCCACCTGAAAATCAGGAGAAAGAAGTGAGCCAAATGGAACAAAAGGAAACTACTAGGATTGATTCTGCAAAAGTTGAGAAAGAAAACACAAAAAGCACCATAGATGCTATACGTGAAAGCAATAAAGACCAAGATAATTTCCCGTCTTCCAAATCTACAGCGAAAGCAGAGGCTGAGCAACCAGAAAGAGGTGACAAAACCCAAATCGCTTCAGCTGCTTTGCAAAAGGAAAAAACATCTGTGACTGCAGAAACAAAAGAGTTACAGCGGGGGCCTGCAAACAGCAGCCAGACACTGATCTAAAATTGATCTAAAGATTCAAAAGAAAATAAACAAAAAAAAAAAAGAGCTTTTGCTTAAGTTAAGAATGGACAATAAAATGTTGCATTCAAAGAGATGACAGCCAAAAATAAAGAAGAGTTCAAAAATCAAATGTCTAATTTTGGCACCAGTAGTTGAGCACAAAGAACAGTGCAAAGTACTGGAATGTATTTCCAACGTTCTTGTATTAAAAGAACAGAATAGGCTTTATTTTTTGCAGCATGACTGACCTCAAAGTTAAAACTGGATTTCAGATATCGTGAAACAACAAAACAACCTAATGTAACTATGAATGTAGATGCATTTTGGTCATTTGTTTGACTGACATTGACTTTGGTATGGTGTGTGCAAATAAAAGCAATATATAAAAAAAATATTGATTCTGGTATATTCTAAATTTTCTTAAACATCGTTTTTCCTCAATGTTCACAATTAAATGCTTTATTGGTGATATAAGGAAACGTTTTTAGGTCAGCACATTTCTGAGTTAATAAACAGCCTCCGGCAATGAGATGTGTATTTTGTAAAAATGTGCTGAAAACAAATATTTTAAAAGATCTGTGTACATAGTTAGTGGTCACTAACTCTTATTAGGGGTTTGTGAGGTATTTTAAATAAATGCAGTGCTAAATTATTTCAAAGATTTGCTACGGAGTCCTCATGGGGACACAGTAGGGGGGAGGGGGTGACATTTTGCGTTCCTTCGCAATATTGTACTGATCAGTTCATGTGGCATAATTTAATACAAAAGAAAAAAAAAATTTCATGTCCCCAGGAGGGCTGTGTATTTTGCAGAAAGTTAGTGTAACATCCTGCAAAATTTTAAAAAATTGGTTTGCGATAGGAAATAGGATTCTGTAAAAATTTCCCAGAAAAAAAGGTGTTAGTCTTCTAAAATGAGCCAAGTTCAAATAGGGTTTCTTAGTGGTCACTAAAGCATAGGTTTGCACACCTTATAAATGCATTATAATTATCACTCTGGTAGGCACTGATGACTTTAAAGACTTTATTGAAAATCCATACATACACAAAGGGACCTCAAAGACTTCTTGACAGGATTGGTCTCCTCTCGGAACAGAAACATAGCTTTACATGGTGCACATGTGCAACTTTACTCTAGTCCTCCAAATAATTTTATAGTTTGGCATCACTTGAACATTGTGTGCTCCACAGTTAATCTGTTACTGCATAATTAACAAAATATAACTCTGTTTGGGCGAGCCAACGTGCAGGTTTCTCAACCACTGAAAGAAACCCCAAACATGATCAGTTTAGGATAAGGTCACATGTGTAGCTTTGCCAAAACAAGACACAAGACATCCGTGTGTGTGCATTATTAGTATTTAAACACAAATCAAAATTAATTTTAGTTTTGGATTTGATAACTGCTATGATGGCAAAGAATACCAAAAGTTATGATTGCAGATATTGGAGGTAAAGTATGACAATCCTAAAGTTAATGTTGTGTTTTCACATAAAAAGGACAATGTTGGAGTGCCTGGGATCATTACACTAAAGCCACACACAGTTGTACTGATAGATTGGATTATTACAATTATCGTAGCAATGGTGAACAGAAACAATGACAAAATGTATAAATAATATGACAATGTATGTCTTTTGGTGTGATGCAATTGCAAAGTAAAAAGCATCAACAAAAATAAAATATTCTGAAGCACCAACATGAAGTGGTGCCCGAGACGGTGCTGCAGAAGCCTTTGAACCGATCTCTATGATTTCCCTTTGCTGGTTTGAGTTGGACATACTTTTACGGCCCGATTAGTCTCATATTCCCTTGTCCCTTGCTGCATGAGGACAGTTTAAGCTTCCAGTTCCAAACCCAGACCCAGCTTATGACCTCCGACATTGATGTTCTTTCCATCTATCAGACCAGAGAGAGTCAGTTTCACACCTACAAACACAAGGAAGAAGTTTTAGTCGTTATCTATACAAAACAGTTTTCAAGCTGATACTAGCCCAAATTCCACATCTTTCCAGACTGTGTAGAAATCATGTTGTAAAGTGGAAGGAAACTTGTACTTTTATTTTAAAGCTGCAGAAGAGAGTTCTGAGAAACCCATGGACTTAACTTGAATTTTTGAAGAAGCACACTTTACAATTCTCTCTCCATTGCTCTGCTACACTACAGCCTTTGCTCTACAGCAGTCTGTTTGAGAACTCTTTTTTTTTTACAATTTTCTTTAACATTATTTCCGCTGCCATTTGGTGATGGCACACTGATAATCTTTAGCTTGAGTGAAAGTATGAGCTGTGCAGTGGAAGCAGTGCATAAATGAGCACGATTGACAATACTAAGACATTCCTCCCAGCTCTTTTACAAATTACTTTGGATTTGACCATTACAAAGATACCCTGCAACAAAATAATTTCAAACTTGTGGTGGTTTTATAGCAAAATGTGAAAAAGTTCAACAGGTAATAATATTTCTGAAACATATACCAAGCGCTTCTGCAAATTACACTGCGGTAAGAAACTCACCTGGTCTAAGAGTTTGGGTGTAGCCAAGACCTACAAGGCTACTGTTGTTAACTTTAGCCTGAAACGTCCAAAAACACAGAGGGGAAAACAAAGATGTCAGTGAGCAGGATTAGGTCCAGAGTTTTATGGTGACTTTTATTGCCTTAGAACCATCACAGATGATGTGAAGAAAAAAAAAGAAACTTACACTGAAAGAGGCATCTTTATCCAGTTGGTATTTGGCAGCAATGCCAAAGCTTGTGCTGTTGTTGCCAGCTGTCCAGGCCAGGTTGATTGCAGTCTCCAGCTTGTCACTGGACTTCTGGTAGATGGAGCCACAAAATTCTGCTCCATCATTGCTGTAATGATTGAAAATAAATATTTCCAAATAAAAATGAAGTTAACCATGTCTGTTTTTCTGCAGAATGTGCGCTTTTTATAAGATGTTTGTAGGAAGCGTGACAGATGGCCTGGAGCCAAGAGCTTACACCTAGCAGGAGAGGACATCAAAGACTAAGGGTCAAAATTTTGGACTCAAGAGAACTACAAGAACTGCTTGAAGTCAAACTACTGCATTTAAGGAGACAGGATAGCATCATTGTTTTAGATTTGGATTTGTGACTCTGTTTGGCAGCTAGATTTTCGTTTGCCTCTCCCCCATTTTTAAACAACAACTTCAAGTGATTTGTAACCTAGGAAATGCTTGAATTGTAATAAATAGCACTACTGATGGAGGGTGTGGAAGGCTGAGATGAGAAGGCTTTATGGCCAAACTCTCCACTCAAAATTCTTCTGAGTGTAAAATCTATTCTTCAACTGTCTGTCCTTCTTTTAATGTTTAGCGAGAATGTTTAGGTGATAAACCTGACAAAACCCCAGAACTAATAAGGAGCATAAGGAGTAAAAAAAAAAAAACAACAACTCTGCATACACGTTTGTATGTAGCTGAAAGTCTGCCGTCTTGTAGCCGATGGCGAAGTTGCTCTTGGTCATTCTGGATTTGGCGGAGTCAAAGCTCATCTGGTAACCTCCGAGCCATCCCTCGTAACCAATGACAGCAGCTCCGTGGATTGTGGGACCAGCGAAGTCAAAGTCAACATCGCAGCCCAAGTTGATGTATTCACGCTTGTATGCGGTCTTAACTTTGCCACTCTTCTTGCTGTAAGTAAAAGAAGGATTTTGTTAAAGAAAAGAAAAATCTCTACGCATAAGACAAGTACCATTTCCCACATTATGTTTGTCTTTCTCGTAACCTTTTTTTGGAACAGATTTTTACTAAATTAACGCAACATCTTGACAATAAACACATAGGAAGAGTTTCAGAAGGAAATTCAAATTAAGATTAGTCTTTATCCCAAACAGGTAAGATAAAAAAAAAAAAAAACATACAATCCCAGTGAAGTGTTCAACATACTGGTTCTACACAGGGACTCTGATCACATAGCTGGCAAAAACACTGGTCAGAAGTATTTGAGGCAAAGATCAGGTTTCCATAATTACTTATGAAGTGAAGCAACAGGTTGAGCAACCTCTTTCTCTTGAGTCCTGGATTAAAAGACACACAAAAACATATCCCCAACCATCATCTTACCCAGTGTTGGGTGAGAAGGTTGTGTCAAATGTCAACTTCAGTCCTTTTGTAATCTGCAAGATAAAAAACATTTTAATGTATTGGAAATAAGAAAAGTTGTGCTGCTCCAGCAAATGTACACCCTGTTCTTTTTGTTGTAGCTGCTCTTAATGTACAAAAATGTTAAACATTTATGCAAACCTGATCTTCAATAGCAATTTCTGTTCCCAATGTGTTGTCAGTGTTCCACTTCTCAGTGAAGGTCAAGCCATATTCAGGCCGGTTGTATTTGGTTTCCAGGGAACCGACAACTTTGCTGGTATCGGTGTTGGACGAACCAGATGTTTTGAATTCCTGCAGGAGACATTTTTAGATAAACTGGGATCACTTAACAGGCATGAAATTAATAACATTACCAATTGTAGTACATTTTGAGAAAATTAATTATTGTAGTTTATATGTATTTTTGTTGCTATACTGATTTTTTGTGGGTACTCTATAAAATTAAAGGTAATCAAACAAGTACTTTTGGAAGGCAATGTGGCTAGAATGGAGATTCTGATGAACGAAGTAGAAGACTGTAAAGCATTGAACTTGGGAGAAAATAAAGATTTTGAAAGTTCAAGGCTGAGCGCAAACAATACTTCTAGGTCTTTTTTTGTTTTAAAAGCAACATATGGATTTAATAACTGCCAACATGATTATTTCAAAATCCAAATCATCTTACAACTCCACTGGCTGACTTTGTCTTGACATCAAGCTTCACCAGGCCAAATCCTGTAAGAAATATGAGTTTCAAATTTAATTAGAAAGAAGAAGCTTCAACATCTTCATGAGAGTACAAAGACCTACCAAAGCCTTTGTTGAAGATATCCTTGGCAGACTTGCCCAAATCAGCATAAGCGGGAGGCACGGCCATTATACCTGCATATAAAAGGAATGGAACAATTGTGTGTATATATGAAAAACAAACTTACTAGATCCACATAATATTACAGTTTCATTTGAGTACAAAACTCATTATGTTGGTGAATTTACTGGAAAAGGAAGCTTGGAGAATTTATTATGTTTTTACACATTTATGTGTTTCTGAACTAGTCTTCTTTTACTTTTACACAGCAACTGGGGTACAAAATGTTCAACTCACACTTCTTTTTTCTATTTTTATTGCATTGTAAACATTAGTTTCAATCAAATTTTGTTCTTGTGTTTTCAGTGTGTATTTAAATTTTTTTCTGTTTACAAATAGAAAAGTAACAGAAAAAGGCTTATCCTTTCAATATAGGCTCCAGTGCTTGATGTCCCATTGGACTGCAACGTTTGGATGCATTCCTGCTGAATTATCTTGTTGGCAGACAGCTTTTAGGTTACATTCATACTCGAGGCCTCAATGCTCAATTTAAATTTTTCATGTGAAATAATTTTTTTTTTTTGTTTTTTTTAAACGTGGTCATGTGGAACAAAAATTATCTACACTATTTAAGAATACATCTAGACATATATAAAACACTCTGAGTTGTAAAAGCTGTTTTTATACTTCTCTCTCCTATCCAGCTACACCTAGTAACTCATAGTTACTATATATATATATATATATATATATATATATATATATATATATATATATATATATATATATATATTTATATATATATATATATATATATATATATATATATATATATATATATATATATATATATATATATATAGTTGTCTATAGATCAGTTAAGGAGTCTAGGCCTCTCTTTTCTGTAGATCTCCTTTGTGTAGGTAAAAGGGCGGACCAAGGCCAGTGGCCTGGAAGGGAAGAGATAACAAATAGTTAGTGCACCCAGACTATGGGAACAGAATGAGATGCTCAACTTATCCAAGTGGCCTTGGAGGGAGCTAGGTAAAGGACGCCTCCCCCTCTGGCTGTCTATTTGGTTCATCCTGTCTATCCTGTTTATGTTATGTGTCCTAATTTGGTTTTGGACATTTGAAACGACTCCCACTTCCTGTGCACCAATGAAATGTATATGATTCTGTGATTATTTCAGCCTCCTCAGAACACACCAAGAGTTTGCAAAAATTTAGCTGTGTTGTTCTCAACTTGCAAGTGATATTAAAAGTGTTTGTTCTTCGCACTTTTGCTGCCTCAGTCTCATCTCTAGAAAATCTGTGCATTTCAACAGTCGGTCACATTTCCAAATATATGCAACTTGGAAGTGATCGCCTGCAAACCAGCTAAAAGTGTCCCACATGAGCAGTATAGGAGGTAGGCACATCACATTTAGCAAATCATCATTTGTAGTGTCTGCATTTACACACTTTATTAAGGTAAAGCTTGGTCTTATATCCCTGTTATAACCAACATATTACACATAGACAGACTTATCGCTTAAATGTGCATTTAAAATGTAATGATCAAACTTTTGTTGCTTATTAACAAAATATGCAGCAAAATATGCAATATCAATAGAAGTGCATACAATAAAAATATTAAGAGGAGCTTAGTAGTCTTGTGGCAAGAGGGATTAAACTGTTGTGGAATCTAGTTGTTCTGCATTTATTCTTTTTTGTGAATGATATGAATAAGTGCTGAATTGTCTGAGTTAGAATCTAAAATATATAATTTTCTTACATAACCTTTTTTATACAGTTTTTATACTCGTTGAGTATAAACAAACCCACAATCTTTGCCAACATAACTGTTTCATTTTTTTTTATGAGCACCTCTGGCACAAATGACATCCTGTGGGTCAGGTAGTTAACTTCCAAGGTTACCGGGAAGAACAGGGGCCATTTTAACTACAATGGGTAAACTACTTATTCGTGACTCTTAATGCTTTTTACTGTAAATCAGTCGCTAAATCCAGTTGGACTGGAGAAGGCTTTGACCGGTGCTAGTTACGGTGATGAGCTAAAATAGCTTATTCACTTTGGCTGTGGCTGTCGGCTAGTTTTCGCAGTGCTAACAGGCCAAATAGATATATAAAGCAATATCTGAAAAAACAATTGTGACTGCTTTATTTCAATAATTAAGAAAATGTGTTTTTTTTTAAACTACAACAAAAGCCTTCCAGTAAGAGCACATGTGTCAGACTTAGCTCGCTCCTGCAGCTACTAAAGCTAATTATGTTAGCCTGCAGAGTTCCGCAGTGAGTAAAACTACTCTCTAGTTTGTGTCTTAAGAAAACACAATGCGAAAGTAGATAATAAGATGCCTTACCAGTTGAAGACTGTGTTAGTGTTACACTAAAGTGACTCTTTGGAAGTGTTCCTCACAACACAAGGCAGAAGCAGGCGTCACCGGTTGGAGGGCGAGCTGAAGGAGACTGTTCTGCAACGAAATGCTGACCTTTCGGTTTCCAGTTTAGGGCCAAGGGCGCCCAAGCGTTTGCCTGAGTGAAAATGGGTTTACATCACAGACGGCAATTTGGGCTGAGATTTAACTTCAGTTAACCATTTTGACTTTAAACGTAGACGCTTAAAGCTAACCTTCAATTTTTAATTCTTCGAAACGAGTTAAAGCTGTTCACTTGTTTTCTTTTTAGCATATCAAAATAAAAAAATATAAATATTTTTGCCTTTAAGAGTTAATAAACCACTGCCCGATTAGTCATCATTTTCTAATTTCAAATTACCGTTTTATTTATGTTTTTCTTTGTATCTAATTGTTGCTACTTATTTAGTTCGCTATTTAGTTTCGATGTAATGAAGTCTTATTTACCGAAACAGTTTATATTCGGAACATGTTCAAGCCATCTTTGTACTTCCTTGGGGACTTTGGAACATAGGCATAAATACGTGTTCTTATCAATACTATGTTAAAAAAAATCCCGAGCTCAGAGGTTCTTATTGTTAAGAATTTAAAATGAGGAATAACTTGATTTAGCTCGTTAATTCATTCATCTGATCCCGGATTCTTGAGCCTCCATATGCGGAGTGAGAAAGAGCAATCATACGACATCAGACTTCAGATATCTAGAATTTATCCAGAGAATTCAAATGAAAACAGAATGTCACAATAAGCATCTCACCCAGAAATCCAAAAGTCCAAGACATGACAAAACAGAAATAATTGCACGAGTTGAAGTAAAGACAGAAAATGCATTTTCCGGAAATTGCGAACTCGGGCAGAAAGCAATTCGAATTCTCTGTTGCAAACGAAAACTTTTACAAGCCTGTGACTTTCTCTAAATTTAAATATATGCATTAGAAGGTGTGCCTTCCCTCTGTGGGGCCTTCCCTCCGTGGGGCCTGTTACTTTTATTACCTCTGCTAAAGAGCCCCAAAGGCAGATATATGTGTAACGGGTATTAAGATGAAATTCTTGCTAAAATGTTTTGTAATTACCATGTGATGAATGGTTTTTGGCGCCCCCTACTGGTTGCCTATAAATACAAAGCTAAACCGTAAATTCCACGCAGTCTGTTGAGCGCTCTACTGTGGTAAGTCACCAAATCCAGTTCTTTTCTGAATAGTCATAGTAGGTGTGCTCAAAGACTGACGTGGAGTTTTATTGCAGTATGCGGAGAGCTGATGGACCAGTAGTGGAGCTCACTGTACTAATTTGTGTTGACCATTTATTACAGGTAATTATATTATATTATTTATTAGTAAATTATTTTGTCAGTTATGTTTGTCAGTTTTTCTTCAGTTGAGTTGTCGGTTTGTCTGTTGTATTGTCGGTTTGCTGTATTTACCAGCTTGTCAGTTTGTTTGTTCCCTGTTTCAGTTAGAAGTTACTGTTAATTAGTTTATTAGTTAAATTTGATTGTTGTCTGTCTATTTTTTTTCTTTATTTATAGGAAATAGACCAGATTGTGTTAAATTAATTTTAAAGAAGTATTAATAATCAAATATCACTATACGATCATTTGTTAGAAAAATATGTTGTTAAGCCAGATTGTAATGATTGTTTGTGACGCAGTCTGTTGAGCGCTCTACTGTGTATGCGGAGAGCTGATGGACCAGTAGTGGAGCTCACTGTACTAATTTGTGTTGACCATTTATTACAGTTATTACAGAAAATTCAACCAACTGGCCTCCTCTGTGTGTATGACGGGACGGGCATAAAGGGGAAGCTGTTACATTGGTGCCGTGACCTTGGACTACAATCAAGCTCGTCGAACCTGTGACCGTCCTGTCTGCCACATCGGGTTTTGAATACATTTATTCACATTGTGTATAGTTTCATGTTCACAGTAACATTTCAGGACAGTGAAAAGACGTTGCTGTACACTTAAACCTTTATGGAGCATTAGAGTAATATACTATGCAAATTGTTCTGACTTATTTTGTTTATTATTTGTTTATTCCAAATTGATGATTTTATTTCCTATTGTGTTTTGGATTTTGAATATCTTTCCACTTGTTAAACTCCCTGAACAATGTCTAATCAAAGTAACCACTTTTGGTTCAGCACACCCATTAGTTTTGGAAGAGGAAGAGGTGTGCTTGCTCCCATTCCTTTTTCTGTTGATAGTCCTGCTCCTGGTGGTCTTATGCCCTCATTAGATGAAATTCCTAGTGCTAGAGTCCATAATCCTACTAGTGACAGTTCTGAATGTGTAACTGCACAGATGAAATCTGTTTTACAAGAGATAGGACATCAGCTGGCTGACAGCATCATTTCACGCATACAGCCACATATCACAGTTTCTCCCAGTTCTACAGCCACACACACTGCAGGGAGTACTGTGTGTCAGTCTGGTTGTGTATCTGATGTATCCCAGGTTCAGGTTGTCTTGCAGAGAAAGGTCAAAGAACCTCCATGTTTTGCAGGTAATGGCTCAGACTCCATTACAGTGCATGATTGGGAAGATCAGATGAGAACATTCATTAGGAAAACTGATGTTAAGATTGAAGAGCAGGCTGAGGAAATCCTTATGCATCTAAGGGGAAAGGCTAAGGATGTAGTTAAGTTTGGGATTAGAAATAGTAACATTAACATCACTGCTCATCCTGACATGATTTATAGTCTCCTCAGAAAACACTTCAGCTCTTCTAAATACTCTGCTGTCCCCTTAGCTGACTTTTACTCGACCTTGCCCAAAGACCACGAAGACCCATATGACTACTGGCTGAGACTAAACAGAGCAGCTGACCTTGCTTCTGACTGCCTGAGAGAGCAGGGCAAATCATTTGAAAATCCTGAGATGGAGGTGACACGTATGTTTATTAGGAATTGTCCCTGTAAAGACCTGGCTCTCACTTTCAGATCCAAAACTATTGACAGGTGGTCAGCATGTGAAGTCCTGGAGGTGCTGAATCAGTACCATGCTGAGATGAGCTGTAAAGAAACTTTCCCAGTGCGCCACGAGAAGACAGTAGACATTAAAGTGCACAAAGCAGAAGTGGGCCATGGCTTGATCCCTACACATAACAGTCAGGAGTACCCCCAGACACACAGCGCTCAGTATGTCTCCCTGACAGATGTAATGTCGATGTTAGAGAAGGTTCTGCTACATGGAGCCTCTAATCAGCCACATGAAAGAAGGCGAATTCCACCCAGGCGACCTGTAGACAATGCAGACATAATAAATGGTTTCACTATTAAACCATGCATTATTTGCAAAGCTGACGACCACAGTGCCTTGTCACATTGCAGAGAAAATAGGCTTTGTTTCAAGTGTTATGCTCCAGGTCATTCACGCCACAACTGCCCAACTAAAAGAGCTGCCCCAGAGCATCAGGAAAACTGACTGGTCTGCACACAAGGGAGGACAGTGCAGATGAACCCAATAAGCCTCCCACTAAAAATGAGTCTCCAGAAATCCAAGATAATGCATCCCTCTTTGAGTTATACAGTAGTACATTGACCTCATCCAAGAAACCGATATTCCAGGGATCCAAAGAATAGCAGAAACTAACAACCTGTTCTACACACCTGTGTCTGTACAGAATGGCCCCACCCTCAAAGCACTATTAGACAGTGGTTCAATGGCTTGTACAATAAGTGAGTCCTCTGTTCAATCCCTTTTACAGCAGTGTCCTGATATAACGAAAGGCACAGCTGAAGACTATGTGATTATAGGCTGTGGTGGACAGCAGATTTTCCCCAAAGACATGTATGACCTTGATGTCATGGTTTATGGATGCAGGATGATAATTCCAACAATGGTTGTTCCAGGACAGACAGAACAGATTATTCTTGGCAGCAATGCAATCAAACACATTCTAACCCAACTAAAGAGCACTGACAGTTACTGGAGACTAGTTTCTTCACCCAACAATGGCCAAACACCTGACCACTGCCAATTTCTGTCACTGTTATCCAACACAGAACGTTGGAGGGGTGATTGCATTCCAGATAAAGTAGGGACAGTGAAAGTAAAAAGTTGTGTGACCCTGAAACCACAGAGTGAGCACCTTGTCTGGAGCAAGTTACCTGAGTCGGCGGTGATGTCAGCAGGCAGTACAGTGATTGTTGAGCCAACACGATCTAAAGCTGGACCAAAACACATCCTTGTTGGCAGAGTTGTCACTCCTCTTTGGGGAGATCGATGGGTACCTGTTAGGGTCATCAATCCTACAGACAGGGTTATAGTACTGAAGAGAAATGCCAAATTAGCAGATGTGTCTCCATGTATTGCAGTTGAAGACCTGCCAAAAGCTGACAAAATTGAGTGTAATCTGCAATGTATACAGAGTACAGTTGTGCAACCAAGGTCAGAGGAGGACATGATGAATACGCTGAAAGTTCTGGGTCTGCAAGACATTGACCTGAAATCATGTGAAGTGCCACTGCAGTGGAAAGACAAGCTCCTTGACCTCATTGTGCAGCATGAGTCAATCTTCTCCCGTCACAAGATGGATTGTGGAGAAGCTAAGGGTTCGTTCACCGCATCCATCTTGTTGATGACAAGCCATTTCGTTTACCCTACAGGCGCATACCACCAAGCCAATATGAGAAACTGAGAATGACTCTGAATGAGATGGAAGAGAGAGGCATTATCCAGAAGTCAAACAGCGAGTATGCATCTGCACTTGTTCTGGTATGGAAACCAAATGGTGACCTCAGAGTCTGCACTGACTTCAGATGGCTCAATGCGAGAACTGTGAAAGATGCTTACCCACTACCGCATCAAGCTGATGCTTTGGCTGCCCTTGGTGGTAATGCATTCTTCTCAACAATGGACCTGACATCAGGCTTTTATAATGTCCCTCTGCACCCTGATGACAAAAAATATACAGCATTCTCGTCTCCTTTTGGATTACATGAATACAACCGCCTCCCTCAAGGCCTGTGCAATAGTCCGGCTACATTCATGAGGATGATGATGTCGATATTCGGGATGAGAACTTCACAAGCCTATTGTGCTACCTTGATGATCTGATGGTATTTGCACCTACAGAGGAAACCGCACTCCATCGCCTACAAATGGTTTTCTCCCGTCTCAAAGAACACAATCTTAAACTCGCACCCAAGAAGTGCTTCTTCCTAAGGCGGACTGTGAAGTTTCTTGGACATGTCATCAATGACCATGGTGTCCGAACAGATCCTGAGAAAGTGAAGGCCATAAATGAAGTCCAAGTCACTGACCTAATGGAGTCTGATGGAAAAACACCTTGCCCTAGCAAAATCAGGACTTATCTAGGCATGGTGATGTACTATCAAAGCTTCATTGAGGCATGTTCTGCAAAGGCAAAACCACTATTTAAGCTCACAGCTGGACTGGATGCTCAAAACAAGCACAAACAAGGTCGCAAACTTGTCAAAAAGAGAGGTCATGTGAAACTGACACCTGCTGATTGGACAGATGCATGCCAGATTGCTTTTGAGACACTGAAACATGACCTCATGACAAGTGTTACTCTAGCCCATCCAGATTTCAAGGCACCATTTATTCTAGCTGTCGACGCATCCTTTGATGGGATTGGCGCTGTCCTGTCACAACTGCCACCTGGTGGAAAAGTGGCCAGACCAGTCGCCTTTGCAAGTAGAACTCTTTCACGTTCCCAACTGAACTACCCTGCACACCGGCTTGAATTTCTTGCCTTGAAATGGGCAGTATGTGACAAATTCAGCCATTGGTTGAAGGGCAGACACTTCACCATATGGACTGACAATAATCCATTGACCTATATCCTGACCAAACCCAGACTTGATGCGTGTGAACAGCGGTGGGTGGCAAAGCTTGCTGCATATGACTTTGACCTGAAATACATCCCTGGCCCAAAGAACATTGTTGCAGATGCCTTGAGCCGTGAGCCATTTGTCCAGTCATGTGTGGGTCATCGCCTCGTAAATGAGCCATATACCTTGCTGTTGGACCAGGTCAACAGTGTGAATGACAAACTCGTGCAGGATGTCTTCAGAGTGTCCAACAACTGTCAAGCTGTTGTAGATGATGGTGGTGAGATACCAAATGATCCAATTCAAGATACAGTTCCACTAAACACAAAAGGCTCAGTCTCAGCAGAGGAGGTTGCTGCCATCTTCAATGTTCAGTCCAGCGGAGGTGTGAGCCAAATGATGGGAACTAGTATTGACCCCAATTTTCTTCTGGATGAAAACCAGTCATCTGCATTCCCACAGAGCCAGCTTGTCAATTGGCAGGAAGCTGACGACACAATCAACAGAGCCATGTACTTTGTACGGAGACATAGAAGACCTACCAAACGTGAAAGGACTAATGAATCACAGAGCGTGATTAAGCTGCTGAAACACTGGACCAGACTCACCATACAGAATGGCATGCTGTACAAGGCAAGGAGAGATCCTCACATGAACAAGAAAATCCTCCAGTTCATAGTACCTGACTCAATGAAGCAAAAAGTTCTCCATGGTCTCCATGATGCAGCAGGTCACCAAGGCCAGCACCGTACCTTGTCTCTGGTGAGACAAAGATTTTTCTGGAGTGGCATGGGCCGTGATGTAATGAACTATGTTCGGTGCTGTCAGCGCTGCATTGTAGGAAAGACAGCGGAACCGCACAGCCGTGCACCACTCCAAAAATAGTCACTACTGAGCCTATGGAATTAGTCTGCATAGACTTTTGGACTGCTGAGCAAGGGAACAAGTCTGTGGATGTTCTAGTTGTGACTGATCATTTTTCCAAGATGGCACATGCCTTCCCCTGTAAGAATCAGACTGCCAAGGAAGTTGCTCGTCGTCTCTGGAACAACTTCTTTCTCATTTATGGGTTTCCTCGTCGTATACATTCTGACCAAGGGGCCAACTTTGAGAGCAAACTAATCAAAGAGCTTCTAGAAATGGCTGGAATACAGAAATCCCATACAACTCCCTATCACCCCATGGGGAATGGTGTTGCAGAGAGATTCAACAGGACTCTGGGAGACATGATCAGATCCCTTCCTCCTCAGCCAAAAGCAAAGTGGCCACAAATGCTGCAACTACTAACCTTCTGCTATAACTGCACAGAGCATGAGACAACAGGGTTCGCACCATTCTACCTGCTATTTGGAAGGATCCCTCGTCTACCTGTTGACGTGATGTTTCAACATACCCTTACCGACAACACTGTTGTCAACCACTCAGACTTTGTTTCCCACCTAAAAAACGATCTACACAAGGCTGCTCAAATTGTGCAGAAAAACAGTCTCAAGGAACAGACTCGCCATGCCAACCTGTACAACCGTAAGATCAAAGGCTCACCTCTCGTCATTGGAGACAGAGTCCTGATTGCCAACAGAGGAGTGCAAGGAAAGCGCAAGATTGCAGACAAGTGGGAATCTACCCCTTATGAGGTCATATCAGTCAGGCCTGATATCAATGTCTACAGAGTTAAAGATGTCCTAACGGGCAGAGAGAGAGTTGTCCACAGAAACCTGCTACTCTCTGTTAGCTTCTTGCCATGTGAGAATGCTGAGGACCACGAATCTGACAGTACTACTGCTGCGCATGGAAGTGGTCTATGTCCAGACACCTGATGAGCCGGAGAACAGTGACAGTGACAGTGACATTCTACCCTCAGACATGATGACAGCCCCTTCCACAGACATGTTCGCTCCTGACAAATACCTCACAGACGTTGACGCTCCTGTGACGGCTGCTCCAAACGATGACTGTTCAGACATTCCAGGCTCCTCACCTCAAATTGTTTCTACAAAGCTTGACCGTCGTATTCTTAGGGACCGTAGTTCCATCAGGCCTCCCCGACGTCTTATTTGTGAGATGAATAATCAAGAAGTAGATGAAACTTCTTTATCTGCAGTGTCTGTTAGTTCCCTAATTTCATTTTTTTCAAATGCATTTTCAGCTTAAGTAGCAGAGTTAAAACCGTGTTAACCATAGAGGTGCTTGAGTAGTGCTTTTAGGGTCATAGGAACAGTGTTACATTTCAAAGGTGTAATGGGCACTTTTGAGTCTGTGTTTAGTTAGGAATTTGATCAACTCCTTTCTTTACATACTCCCTTTTGGCAGAGTTTTTGCACTGACAAGTATACCCACTTTCGTTCCTAGTGTTGCACTTTTTTTTTCTTTTTTTTTGCTTTTCCCTTAGTACACCCACTTTATTTGATTGTTTTGTTTTGTTTGATCATATTTTTCATATTTAGCATAATTTCAGGGGGGTGTATGTAACGGGTATTAAGATGAAATTCTTGCTAAAATGTTTTGTAATTACCATGTGATGAATGGTTTTTGGCGCCCCCTACTGGTTGCCTATAAATACAAAGCTAAACCGTAAATTCCACGCAGTCTGTTGAGCGCTCTACTGTGGTAAGTCACCAAATCCAGTTCTTTTCTGAATAGTCATAGTAGGTGTGCTCAAAGACTGACGTGGAGTTTTATTGCAGTATGCGGAGAGCTGATGGACCAGTAGTGGAGCTCACTGTACTAATTTGTGTTGACCATTTATTACAGGTAATTATATTATATTATTTATTAGTAAATTATTTTGTCAGTTATGTTTGTCAGTTTTTCTTCAGTTGAGTTGTCGGTTTGTCTGTTGTATTGTCGGTTTGCTGTATTTACCAGCTTGTCAGTTTGTTTGTTCCCTGTTTCAGTTAGAAGTTACTGTTAATTAGTTTATTAGTTAAATTTGATTGTTGTCTGTCTATTTTTTTTCTTTATTTATAGGAAATAGACCAGATTGTGTTAAATTAATTTTAAAGAAGTATTAATAATCAAATATCACTATACGATCATTTGTTAGAAAAATATGTTGTTAAGCCAGATTGTAATGATTGTTTGTGACGCAGTCTGTTGAGCGCTCTACTGTGTATGCGGAGAGCTGATGGACCAGTAGTGGAGCTCACTGTACTAATTTGTGTTGACCATTTATTACAGTTATTACAGAAAATTCAACCAACTGGCCTCCTCTGTGTGTATGACGGGACGGGCATAAAGGGGAAGCTGTTACATATGGATTGTCAAACTGGGTCTTTGTTGTACCAGGGGTCTCCTGCAAACTCTCTCTGGGCTAAATTTACGACCTATGTCTGTTTTGGTTTTCTGCCTCAATGATTGAACTAGAACGTGTTTGTGTTTTACTGAAACAAAATCTAATGCTAAATACTAACTATAAGTTTGGATCTAAAACAAACTAATTCAAAACATGCTTAAAGAAATATAGTATGGATAACATTATTTATAAAAAGTTTTACGATCCTGGTGAACTATTGAACCACACTAGGAATTTGTTAATTGCCTGGCAGACAGACTCCCTGTCTATAGATCAGTTAAGGAGTCTAGGCCTCTCTTTTCTGTAGAATCCTCCCTGTAAAATCTGAGAGTGGCCAGTTATTTTAGTTTGGATCTTTATCTAAATTTATGTGAACGTAGAGTGTACTTTAACTTTCTATGGTATATTTCATATGCATCAAGGCTATCCTGTGCAGTATTGTGCTAATTTAAAAATCTATTTCAACATTATCCTCTGAGCTCATCAGACTTCAGATACCAGCTATCAGACTTCAGATACCAGCTACCAGAGGCCTGGGAGCTTGAGGGTCCTGCGCAGTATCTTGGCTGTGCCAAGGACTGCACATTTCTGGACTGAGGTGTCTGATGTTCATGGGATATGTTGTAGCCATTGCTCCAGTTTGGGGGTGACTGCCCAGAGGGCCCCGATGACCATTGCTCCAGTTTAGGTACCACTGTGGTCTTCACCTTCCAGGCCCTCTCCAGTTCCTCCCTGAGGCCCTGGTATTTCTCCACTTTCTTGTGCTCCTTTTTCCTGATGATGCAGTCACTTGGTATTGCTACATCTACCACAATGGCTTTTCTCTGTTGTTTATCCACTAGGACAATGTCTGGTTGGTTCGCCCTTACATAAGTCATCAGTCTTTCACCAGAGAGGGCGGGATTCGAATCCAGTCTGGGTCCTTAGGCAAGACCCTTCAAGCTACTGCCTACCTCAGACGTCGCCCGGCCAAGCAAGGTCTGCGTCAGGTGCTGGGGAACCAGAGCACCTTGATGACAAATGGGCTACTGGAACAAGATGGAAATGGGTGAGAGGTTAAAACTTGGATCTGTTGGAATGCTACTACTCAAGTAACCCTAATCAGAGAGGTTACATGCAAAGACTGGGGAAGGAATGGTTACTTCAACATCCCCAGTCAACACTAAGTGCTAAACAACTATATATATATATATATATATATATATATATATATATAGAGAGAGAGACAGAGAGAGAGAGAGAGAGAGAGAGAGAGAGAGAGAGAGAGAGAGAGAGAGAGAGAGACATCTATCTATCTATGTATGTATGTATGTATGTATGTATGTATGTATGTATGTATGTATGTATGTATGTATGTATGTATGTATGTATGTATGTATATATATATATATTTTTTTTTTCTTCTAACTTCTTCAGTTTGTTTGTTTGTTTTTTGGCAGGTGGTACCCACCAGTAGATGGTGCCCATATCAAGCACTATCTGCTGTATTTGATATGGGCCACAATATTTATTTCAATGGTCTCAAGGGCCAGTCTCCTGCAGCTTTTATGTTCTTGTCCTACACACTTGAATTAGATTGCTGAACTGAAGCACCAGCATGCAGCCAAAATCTACAGAGCTCTGCTAACGAGCTAATATTAGAGTCAGGTGTGCTGAAGCAGGGGAGACATTTAAAAGTTGCAGGACACCACGCATTTTTTTTAACGGAATAATCACATTTAATTTCCACAACAGAAGGACAGTAAATTATCATTTAGTTATTTTCGTTATGTCTATTTTTTTTCTTTTTATCACGCTGAACTACTATGCACATAATGCAGCCATCGTCTTGATGAAAAAGTTCTGTTTTTCCTATACAACCTAAAAAATGGGAATAAACCGATTGCTCTTTGAAAATCACAACTGATTCACTGTTTTAGATATTTGTCAACAGTGACAAGATGCATATTTTCAAATGACGAACTAATATTTGTGGCTCTAAACCCGCGTTGAACTGCAGACTTACATCTGAATGAAACTTGCTCCTCTCCACTAGGAGGCAGTTATGCAGCTATCCTTTGTTTACCAACTCGCGCGCCATCAAACAGAAGAAGGGGAAGGTTTGCCGCTTGCTAGCGTGTGGCTAACAGTAGAAGTATCGAAGCAATTTTCTGTGCTGTTGACAATTTGAAGTCGCCGTATCTTCGTTTTGTTAGTTTCCCTTCGTTTGATGGTCATATTCAGAACGCGGAAAAAAGGTAAGTTGGGGATTTTGCCCCGGAAATCAAGGCTGTGAACGTTAGCATTTGGAGTGTTCTGACCAGAACGCTGCACATGCAAAAGGTACAAATGGATGACCTGAACGACGAGAACCTCCAAAAGAAACCAGTGGTTATTTTGACTCGACTCGACGAGTTTACGCTCAGTGCGCTTCAGCCGCCGACACCCCAGCAGTTCGACAGCGAAGCCGATTCGGCCGGCAGCTCCGACTCCGACATGCTATGGGAACCAGGAGACGATTCGGGGGACTCGAATTTTGGGGGCAAAAAGAAAACTCCGCACAAACACAAAAAGGCGAATGAAGCGAAAGCGCATTCGCCGTTGGTGAGCATCAATAACAACAGCGCCAGCAACAACAGCCACAGCACTAACAACAGCAGCGTCTGCAGCAACGACTGCAGCAGTGGCAGCAACAACACCAACAAAGGTAAGGACGTTTCCACCCACAAATGTAAACTAGTAACAACGCTGGGATTGCTAGAGTGCCTCAGGAGTTCAGTCTCCCAACTCCGTATTCCAAGTGTGTTTCCCCCCTCTCACCAGTTGGCGAAGCATCCCCCATCATAGTGTCTGCAGTGTTTGCCAGTAACTCCAATGAAACGAGAAAAGTGCGGCCTGATTTGCCAGAGGTGGAGATTGGGTTGGACATGGAGGTCCTGGCCAGGCGGAGAATCATGAGGTGGCAACAAGGCAAGATAGTAGAGATAATTAACAAGGGTAAGAAAGAGCACTTTAATGTGAGTTTGTGTGTTTTTTTTTAAATAAGTTCAAATAAAATCACTAGTTGAATGGAAAGACGGGTGTTCATGTTGACTCAAGTAATCCCTTTTCAGGAATTGAGGTAGTTTTCTGTGACCATTTTTTTCCACTTTTGATTCAATCAGGATAAAACTTTTACCTCAGAAAAGACCCCAGCATGAAAAGTGAGTCATCCCGTTCAAACTTATTGAGATCTCATTAATCAGAGCTCAGAGAAACATGTTAATGCCTTGAGCTTCATGGGAATATGCAACTTTGGTCAGTGTCGTACGTTTCCATGGAGTTTAAAGGTACTTCGAGTCAGTTGGTAAGATAAAATGTAGGAGTCAGACTCCAGCTGCAAAAACTAACACTTCAGGGTTGAAACAATCAGATTAATGCTGATGAATTGATTAATGAAATAATGTAGTGACTGATTAATGGTCAACTGAAATAGAGTGACTCTCAGTCAGAGTTTCTGACAGAGTAGTGTATTTATGTAGATAATGGCAGGAGCACAGGGTGAAGGCAGAGGAGCAAGTTGTTGTTTTTTCACAGATTATACTGTCATGACATAGTGGTAGTTGTAAAAAGCCATATTTTGTATAAACTTGAATACACCTTGAGGCACATTCTTAGATTATGTGATATTATTGGGTCATCGCAATCTATTGATGGTAGCTGTAACTTTAAAATTTGTTTTAAAAAGATTACAGTCACTCAGAAAGAGAAAGTGTCATCATAGTTATCTTGCTAAGGTTTGCTAGTTTTATTTCTCCTAGTTCAGCCTTTTCTCCTTTCATTCATTTTGCATACATATTGCCACAAAGCTTTTACTGTTTTTCTGATGTTTTACAGAACTGCTCTGACTTTTTTTTTTTTTTGCGTTTTTTGTTGCTTTCTGTATCTTCCTTACTTAATGCAGGGATATTTAGTAGAAACATTTCCAGAGCAAATTACATTTACAGTAACGATTATTGTTTTTAAGTTGTCTTTTAAATGCATTTTTGTAAATAGATTTTAAAGACCTTTGACTCATTTTTCTTTTACTGACTCTTGAATATGCCTGAAATAGTGACACATTTCATCTTTAAAAAACTTTGCATCCTTTTTATTTTTTATATATGCCATGTTACAGGACTTGAGCTTTCTGTGCTTCTCTGTTTTCCTTGAGTTTTGTGAGCTGCAATAAAATCATTTAGACAAGATTTAGTTTTGTTTTTTTCTTTTTGTTTTGGCAGACGATGGACGAGTAAAGTACAAAGTGATTTTTAATGAGAAGGGGAAAAGCTTGGTATCAGGACATCACATCGCGAAGAAAACCAACCCAAAGTTGGACCAACTGTACGTCGGAGCCCGAGTTTTAATTCAGTCTCCAGAAGATGAGCAGTGCTTCCTACCTGGACTTTTGGCTGAGCTCCCCAGCAGAAAGAATCGCTTAAGGTCTTGGATCAAATGACTGCTAAAACATTCATAAACCCCCAATTAGAAAAAAAAGAAAGTATTTTTGAATAATTTCATGCTTTTCAGGTTTCTGGTGTTTTTGGATGATCACACACCAGTTTATGTCAGCTTACCGTCACTTTATCTCATTTGCAGACAAAGTAAGTTTGACTTTTTTATATATTAATTATATTTTGCATCTTTTCTTCCCTAGAATTACCATGATGTATGTTTCATATGTTATGTTTTAGAGATGATATATACCCTGCACCTAGCTAGGATTTTACCTCTTTTTTTAAGCCTTGCATTGCAAATAAACCTGTCCTTTTTTGTGATTATTTGGTTTCATGACACATATAGTAGAAGCCAGATATTACATACACCAAAGTAAAATATAATGTCTGAAATTCAATCAGACCAAACTTTTCATGGTTTAGCTTGGTGAGAATTACAAAATATATTTCTACTTTGTAAATGCCAGAAAACTTGGCAAAAACATTTTTTTTGTGACCCAGAGTATACATTTTATGACCAAATGTATGTAAACTTTCGAATTTTCTTGAAGTCACACAAGAAATTCTGAAACATGTTTTTGCCAAGTTTTCTAGCAGCTTGCAAATGGAACTAATTTAGGGAATTCTAACTAAGGTAAAACAATAAAGATTTTGTCTGTGTCTTTTTATTCGGTGTATGTAAATATCTGGCTTCAACTGTAATCCTTCATGTTTTATCAGGATTGAATGGTCGTAGATATGCTACATTAAGACGGTATGTTTGTAATCATTTTAGTACAGTTCTTTTGAACAAGTTTTTAATTAACATTTCTGTAATTTATGTGGTACTTTTTGCTGTTTTGTCCAGAAGAGGGCACTGTGAAACAAAAAGTGCTACAAACTGTGGACTGCTGTGGAAATAATTTTTTTCTTTTTCTTTAATAATTTGTGATTAATTTCTTTTTTCTTTTTTTTAACAGTGGAAGATCCTTTAGGGGACCTTGTAGATGGTCCACACAAGTTATTCATGGAACATTACTTGAGGAGCTGGCCGTATCCACACCTAACCCACTACAAAGAGGGACAAATCCTTAAAATAGAACTGAATGGAGTCCATCAGAAGTGTCAAGTTGAGTCGGTCGATTGCAGCTTGATGAAGGTTGTTTTTGAGGTTAGTATTGATGGTTAGGTATTTTCTTAACCTACATACAAAAGAACCACAGTAAAAGTTTATTAGTTTTCAAACAATCTTTTGGGAAGGGAAGACACAGCAAACTGCTTCTCCAAACTGCTCACCATGTGTTCTAACTCTGCTGCATGTGAGTGGAACATGGAGGAGTCATTAATAAATGAAGGAGGGCTGATAACAGGGAAGAAGGAACACAGAAGTTAAATTCCACGCACAGACAGTTTTACGACTAAGGAGTATCTCAGAAAGTTCTCCCTAAAGAGAATCAAGACCATCTGTAAAAACATGCTCAAGGTTTAAAGGAAAAGCAAGTTTTGTCTTACACACGGTTTAACAAATTAGACCACTAAGCCTTTAAATGAAAAACAAACTAGTAACACTACTAATGTAAAAAAAGATAAGAAATATACTAATTCTAATAAGTATCTTTCTGATTTTATTATATTTTGTAAAGTCTGAAACCTAATCCATTTAACTGATGTGTTTTAATCCAAATATAGAATAGTTATGATTTTTTTTTGTGCTATTTCAACGAAATTATCCAGATGTGGGAGATACCAATGTACAGCAAAACTATGGGCCTAGGAAATTAACATTGGTATACTGAAAATTTGGTAGTATTATTTTTATATTTGTTTTATTGATGCCTTTAAGTCAGTCAAGTCTTGTTAGAGAATCTGACCCAAGTCTCCAGTCGCTTCAGCATTGTCCTGGTCAACAGTACAATAATAGATGAATTAAATACAGACTGAAGTTTTTTCAAGCCTGTTTTTTCACTTACAGCTAATTAAAAGATAGAATATTACCTCAAATGTTTGAATACACAAATCTGGCCTCATTTTCAAAGAGCACTTTAATCTGACAAATGTGCCTCATTGCAACCTCTGTGCTAATTTATTAAAAATGTTTGTATTTAAACATTTTATATTTTACACAGGAAAACGGGGAGATGGACTGGATCCACAGAGGCTCCCTACGACTGGAGCACATGTCCAAGTTCTTGGAGTTGAAGCAAAATCAAGAACCCAAGGCAGACAATTGACTCTAAATGGCCTATACATTTTTACAGAAAGAGGACATTAAATACAAAAAAAGAAAAAAAGACTACAAATACATGTTTCTTTCCGGCCGTTGACTTGCATTTTGATTCCTGACACGACAGATGTAAGGTTGAAGCATGTAAACTCAAATAGATAGTTATTTCTTTTGGTCATTCTTTTCATTTCTGTTGAAAAGTGTAAATATGTCTATTCTCTACATCTTTCCATTTTAAATGTATTTCCAAATCTTTGTGCATAGAAACACTGGTAAAATAACTTGTTTAAACAAGGACAAATAAATTTAGCAAAAATATTATACAGAACAACTTAGGTTTGATTTGAACATAATATTTCAAGCTGAATTTTGCTCCTATTTTGATCCCAGAACTGTTCTTAATTGATGCCCCTATGTAAGTAAAGCATTTTTGTATATTAAGAACGTCTATTTCTTTTATCGGGCTTTTTATTTCATGCTATTTTCACAATTTGGTGTGCCTAAGCGGACATTGCTTCTTCAGCAGTAGTGAAGGTATTTTATTCTGTTATTCTCAACTTTTTTTTTTTTTTGCCCTAGAAATATTTTTGGCATTTAAAGATTAAAAAAAAAAAAAAAAAAACTTTTCACTCATTTCTATATACAACTTGGCAAATGATGTCCATTCTGTCATGTACACTGTATTTTTTATAAAAAGACAAAAAAAAAAAAAAAATTTTACCATGTGTATTTACTTTGACCTTTGTAATTAGCTTTACATGTAATCCAGTCCAATATTGATTGTGACATTGAGATTTAGTTGTAAAACAGTCAACGTTTTAGTTACTTGTTTAGCTTGAACATAACGGAGGGAATAGTACATCATGAATAAGTTACAATAAAGTAATTTTGTCTGTGTATTTAGCATTACATCGAGGTACAAATGGGAAATAAGACAGTTATCCACTGTGTAATTTGATTTTAAACCCACCCGAAATAATAGGCGAGTAGAAACCTTTTCAGGTCCCAACCACACATATAGCTGTCAGACAAGTGTGCAGAAACTCGCAAAAGGTACGTATATTAATTTCACTTTGTGCTTTCTTTTTAAGCATTTTTTAAATATTTTGTTCCATGTTAAAAATGTTAGTCTAGATTTTTAGTTATAGACTGATTACCAAATTTTCTTTCCTCTGAAAGTTATTTTCTCCCAGATCCTGGCAAAGGCTGCTCCAAAAGAAATCCTTGTAATACTAGCAAATAGAAGCGAGCTATATATATATATATATATATATATATATATATATATATATATATATATATATATATATATATATATATATATATATATATATATATATATATATATATATATATATGTGCATTATGTCTGCATGTATGAAGAGAGAGAGTTGGTAGTTAGTCATTTTGCTTTATTAAAGCAAGAGACACTGTTAAGAATTAAAGAGGAAATATCTTCATTTTGCTCATTAATTTTTCTTTGTTTCAGGTTCTTGAGCCTCAGCGTGCGCAGGGAAAAAGAGCAATCATACGACATCAAACTTCAGATATCTAGAGCTTTATCCAGAGAATTCAATGCATACAGAATGTTACAATAAGCATCTCACCCAGATTATCAAAAGTCCAAGACGTGACTAAACAGAAATACCCGAGTTGAAAGAAAGCACAGAAAGCAAGAACAGAAAATGCATTTTCCAGGTATCGCGGACGCGGGCACAAAGCAATTCGAATTCTCTGTTGCAAACGAAAACTTTTATTCAACTGTGTATTTAAATACATGCATTAGAAGGTGTGTTTTTTCCTTTGTGGGGGCTGTCTTAATGTTAATCTTATTACCTCTGGGGCCTGCTAAAACACCCAGATCTTCTCGTACCAGTCTCTTGCCAAGGCCATGATTTATGGCGTGCAGCTGGAGCGTTCTCTGCCTCAAATGATTCAACAAGAAAGTAGTTTGTATTTCAAACAAGCTCGCACAAAATCTAATGCTAAATAATAACTATAAGTTTGGATCTAAGAACTAAAGTGTTTTCTATTTTAAGAAAAGCTCTTTTTGAGAATACCTGAAATATTTTAAAGTAAAATAGTTTTCCTAATTCTATTGTATTTCCCTGTCTGAAAACCTTCCTTACGGGAGTACAAGACTGCCTGTCTAAAAACCCTCCTCAGAAATTTATGTAAGTTCATAGAGTCACCAGTTGTTTTAGTTTGGATCTTTATCTAAGTTTCTCTTAACATAAAGTGTACTCCCAATATTCATAATATATTTTATATGCATAAAGGTTAGCCTGTGTATGATTGTGCTAATTTAAAATTATATTTTAACACCTAGGGTTAGGGTGAGACATGCCACGTTGATGACCCGGCTATTTATGTGCAGGAGTGAGTAGAGGTGTGAATGAGCACATGTGAAAAATTAGATGTGTCACATGGGTGTGTAATGTTTACGGGATGTTAAAAACTTGCAACACCACAAGTTCTTTATCAGGACATTTGCCTTGCAACCAAGTGAAGAACAAGTGTTGCCAAAATAGTAAATAGCACTCACTGGAAGCTCAATGTTAATTAAAATCATCACATTAAAATCACAAAGCAACTACACCCAATGACTTTTCAAATTTTTCTGAATAATGGCATGTGTGACCAAAACGTTTTTCCATCTATTAGTCCTCGCTTTAGGCTGTCTGAATCTTATCTGGTATCTGAGCTCAAATTCACCATGAAGCCGGTGATGAGGGGAATGAAAAATGTCCTTTGCCTTTTGTGTGTCTCTCTTTAAAAGTATTGGTGTTACATTAAGTAATTTGGTATAAATAGTTTTCCAGGACACCTTTGCTATTATTGGAGCTCAGAGGCATTTGTATGTATAATTTTGAATGTGTGAATGTCAGAAAATCCAGAACAATTTTATGCGCGTGCACACAGTTCTTGTTCTGCAAAAATCTTATTGTGCTGCATGTTGCACAATCATTTCATTCTCGAACAAGAGTTGTTTAAATAAAAGTTTTAAAAGGCTAAATGTATGTTAATCTCTATCTGTGTATGTAAACTGTAGCTAAGTAAAAGTGCATCTGAAAATTAGCTTTTATGCTGAGCTGGATAAAATTCTTTTAGGACTTTTTTTCAATTTCTTCCCTCGTTGCTGAAAGAGGAACAATAGGGACCTATTTATTAATATGCTGTTTCTCTGAATGGAAACTGTGTCCCAGAGATCACTGCTTCTCTGTTCTAAATTAAAAAATATCTATTAATATCTTAATCCAAAATAGCTTTGGTGTTGGGATATAACAATATTTACATTTGTATTTGAATTACATCCTCATTTCACTTCTCATTGTTTCCTTCTTGATACTAACACCTGCTCATAAACACTTTGACACAAAAAGAACAGCAGACAAAGCAGACTGTTTAAAACTGTTATTCTTATTTTTGTCATATGTCAAAAAGTGATTCCTTCTAGTGACACATTAAGTGAATGTTTTGCAATGTCAATAAATGTTACATATTTTCATCTTGTTAATGACAAAAAGTTAGCTATATTTGGCTTTCAGGTGAAATTTCAGGATAACCATAAAAGTGAATTTAATGTGACTTTCTCTAGGCTTTTAGATACACATGTCCAACTGTTCAGGGACAGACGTCACTGTCTTGCATAGACCAGGGAGTAAACATGCTGGACTAGGGACCAGTGGGCCTGAGTTCTGTTCTCTGATGAACGACAATTCACTTTGAGCAGAAATGATGGCCGCCAACAGCGTTGCAGATGTTAATCAGAGCGCTATGCATGAGCCGCTTTTGTCACCAGATAAGTTTATGGTGGTGTTACAGTGTGTCCTGTCAATACAGGGCTGCCCTGAATTTTCTGAATTGTTATAAATGTCATCATATGGGGTTCCATGCCAAGTACAAACTGCATACAATCAATTACTGCAGAAACAGTTTTTATTTTTTTTGTTTAATTCTATTTATCATGAGGGTGTTGTCACAATGTGTTGTGTTATTTCGAGAGTTCCTCTTTTAACATGATTTAGGTTATCTCAAAAATTTCCCAGAATTGCACTTTGAAAACAACATTTTGTAATTGAATCCAGCAGTGGATCTTGCATGAATGCAGTCCTGGGAGAGCCCTGTCTTCTGTAACCTATTCGTAACATATAACAAAACTTACACATACATTCCCCAGATTGACTTTATTCTCTTACAATAAAAATAAAAAATAAAAAAGCAAAAGTTTTTTATTAAAATCAAACTTATTGGCCAGATTAAGAACTAAACAATGTTGAGCTACACAGTTTGAGCGTTGTGATTTACATATACATATATATATATAAAAAAATTCATAGATGACCCAACTATTTTTAATATATTTGGGATTTTAAGTAAATAATTATCAAATGTGGTCCAAAAATAATAGAAAAACAAAACAAACAAACAAAAAAAACAACAACATTGACATAGCCCTTTGGTTCAGTTAGGTATAGTGGAGGGTTGTAACAGCAATGCATCTCATCATGGCCTAATCTACAGTTCTGTATTACTACCTCTCAGAATAAACATTTTAGTAAAGGGATTCAGTCTTGATTATTCCAGATTGATATAGATAATAACTTAGCAACAGCTCATGCAAATCATCCTACTAAATGATTATAGATGATAACAATGGTATTTACAAATTTAACTTCTTGTGTAAATGTAAATTCAAATATTGACAATATCTTCATATTTTTCACATTTTTGAGGTGTTGTTATAAACCCATTCTATCCTCAACAAGACCATACTTAGAAGCAACAAAAGATGTCTAGCATGATAAAAAGCTAAACTTGCTATTCACCCCTTGAGTATAAAGATACTCAAGGGGTGTAAACTCAATGTAAAAAAAAAAAAGAGAAAAGAAAAGGTCAGAGGCTTTTCTAAGTCAATGAGTCATTGTTTCACACTTGTGGAGACAGACAATATTAGGTAGCGCTTAGTCGCAGGAAGAAGAAACAAAATGTCTTTGAGAGATTTAAACATTTTGCTTGTGATGAATAATTGTGCTGTATGTAACGTCCTCATCTTTCCCTTCACTCTGTAAATAAAAAATAATGGTCAGAGGGAAATCCTAAAACGTGAGACGTATTTTCAAACATTCATGAAGCGTAAACTAGCCGGACTTCAAAAACAGAAACAAGGCTTTTTTTTTTTTTTTTTTGTGTTAAAAGTTATTTTGGTCTTTTTTTGTTTTTTTAGACTGTCATTTTTTTCAGGTGAATATACAAATGACAGTTTAACAGTATTCTATCATTGCACACATATAAGCTATGATAAACGATAACAAAGAGCAAAGAATCATGTAGCTGATCAAGTTTTTCGAAACAAAATGCTGTGTTTACACATCCGCTGTTTGAATAATTACCCTTCTCACACTTTGTTTCTTGACGGGAACAACAGAGCTGTAGGTCACATCGGCATCACTTGCAGCCTGTGTTTCAAACAGAAATAACACAATTTTAATTTATTTCAACACTGACAAGTTTATTACAACAAACTGTAAAGATTCAAATACTTATTAGTATCAGCTTACCTGGGCTGCCTTGTTTTTCTTGAAAGAGACTTCTGAATATGTTAAATTCTCTTCATTCTGTAAATAGAAAAATTAAAATATTATTAGACAAGATCAGCTTTACTTTAAAGAACTTAAAAGGTGCATGAGTTTTCAGTGTAAGCAGACAGCGCAAAGCATTTCTGTTCATGACAAATTAACCACAGAAATCAATGGCTTTGATAAAAAATGGATATAATAAATCATTAATGATGATGCTTTATTTATACATTCGACTTACTTTTGAGGCTGCTGAATCCTTAACTCTGACACGTTCTGTGAAACATTTAATTGTTAATTATTCCTTTTTTCACACACTTAAATGATCTGAATTCATTAATTATAAACCAAGTGGCAGCAGATGTCTGGTCAGACTTACTGGTTCTTCTCAGTAAAAACAGGATTGATAAGGCAGCAATAACAATGAAGATCAGCACACTCAGAGGGATGGCGAGGCTCATCAGAGCTTGCAAAAGACTGAAACACACATTATTATTCTAATTCCGAATCAGTAGATAATGATAATGTCTTAAACTAAGACAATTTTGAAAGGACAGTTTTTGAGCAAGGACCTAATAATCACTGTGCTCAAACATTGAAGTGTACTGACCTGTCATCTTCAGGAGCTGTTGTACTTGTAGCTGTAATATTAGTTGTTGTCGCTATAATAATTGTTGCAGTTGCAGTAGTTGTTGCAACTACAGTACAAACGAGAATATCATGTCATGAATATTTCATATCAGTAACATGAAAATTATTAACCTGGGTCTCAGTCGGGACGTTACTTTAATGGATTTAAGTAGTAATGCTGGCACATCATCAATGAAAAAAAGAAAAAAAAAGAAAAATTATATTATCAACAGCAAATAGTGAATTTACATTCTATTTTTTTTTATGGTAGTGAAACAATGAATTATCGTTTATGAACAATAATTAACCCCAATTGAATATATGTAAGCATATATGTAAGAATATATGTAACTGTCAGTCACTGATAGTAAATATATAAAGACACCAACACCTACGACTTCTGATAAAAAAAAAAATAATAAAATTACATCAACAGCTAAAGAACAGCTGTTAGAGTAGGCGAAACAGTATTCTTTTTAATTTATTTATTTTTCATTTTAAGAGGTTAGTGTAACATAACCAGAATATACAAGGTAAAGGTTAATGGCTGCCATCAGTCGTTGGTATGATTAAACATGAGAACATAGGAAGCTGAAAATTAGCAGACACAAATATTTCCCTGATATATTCACCAATCTCTATTTAATTGCAGTCTGTAAATCACTTACCAGTGGGTTTGACAGTCACAGTCAGGTGAACTGGCATCTGAAAATCTCCTTTATCACAGTAATACCAACCACTGTTCTCTTGCTTCAGTCCACTCATAGTTACACTGATTACATTGCCTATGTCCTTCTTGATGGTTACTGTTGTTCCATCTATTATTCCAGTTGGCTCTGTCACACATCTTTTGCCCAGCTTACACCACTTTATTCCTCTAGAGGTAGAGGAGTTAAAGTTTATGTTTATTTTGTCGCCAATAAATCCAGTCACATTCTGGTCTGCCACCCAGAGGATGGGTGTACCTTGATGGGAAATAGATAATAATAAACATCATTTGACAGCTGAATCTTTGAAAAGTTTAACTAATATATGAAGTTTAACTAAAAACAAAGCAAATTTTGTTATTAGTCAAATCAGGGAAAATTATGAACCTTTTGGTTTTCCTTTAGATCTTTATTTTATTCTTGTTTACAAGTGTTTGAAATGTGCGTTCAGAAACACAGCTTACCTTTGTTAATTGACAGCTGAAAGCGTTGCCCATCATCACCTCCGTTATTGATCTCCACATTGCACCAGTAATAAGTGTCAGCTGTTAACTGTTTTATGGTAACAGTGAAAATTCTTTGAATTTTGTCATCAGAGATTGAATACATTCCTGTTTCCCGTGGTGAGTTTGTTCTAACTTCATATGAGCAGGAATTCCAATAATATCCTTTGCATAGATATTTCACATGATTTATGTATTTTAAATCATAAGAACAGGGGATCCTGACTGAAGCTCCCACTTTCACTGAGACCTTAGTGATTGTGTTCACACTTTTACTTCCTGGGGAGAAAAAGACACTGTGAAATATGCTTTGCATGTTATATCACTCATATTTATGAAACATGAAAAAAAAAAAAAAACTAGCTGCTGAAGGCCAAAATATTTTTGGTAGAGCTTTCAGACTAAAGGTACAATTTTCACCAATAATTTGCTGTTAATGCTTTTAGACTCTGCAGAAACTAAACAATTTCAAGTTTGCGGAATATGTTTCAGTGAAGGAGTAGTCATTTGACATGTGAATTTAGATATCTCCATATCAGCAAAAGGAAAAAAAAAACTATCAATACAATCACAACTTTGGGTCACAGAGATAATAAATAATAATAAATGTAATAAGGATACTGTGAAGCCACTGACCTGTTATCAGAGGTAGAAAAAGAAGAAAGCTCAGAGAAACTGCCATGCCGATGCACGAACACCTGCAGCAACTGGTTCAGTAATACTGACTCACTACTTCCTTGTTTTTGATGTTTGATTACAATGTCATTTACATAATTATTATGGATATTTAAACTACCCTCAGTTTATGCTCTTGTTTAGTTTGTCAGCAGGACACAATGTGCCTATTTTTTAGCATTTTCTTTTCCCTCTATTATTTCTTTTTTATCACACAACATATTTTACAACAGACAATTACAACAGCGTTGGAATTTTAGTTGAGGTGTCAAAAGACTTAATGAAGCCTTTTCCTGTTACAAATCTGATATTGCATTTTTAAACTCGTGTGAAGGGTTGAGACATGGGCGGTTCAAATTTCGGTCAACTTACTGTTATTCTAATGGGTTGTAAAAATGTAAATGTAGATTTCAGTTTGATGAAGGATAAAAGTAAAGAATGTTTGAAGCTACACGTTTGATTTGTTTTGCCTGTAAACTTGCAATTTTGCAAAGTAGAAGTCAATGTTTAATGACAAATACACTAGGCTGATGATTGATATATTTAATAAGTGTCTTCCTGTTGTAGCCCATTGAAATAGCAAAGAAAGACAGACTTAATGAAAAAGCCTGGTCACTTTATTAGCTGTACCTGTTCTGGTTCTTTATGCACAAATAGAAAGTCATCCAGGCACATGGTACATGGTAGGAGCTGAATCTGGTATTCAGATGCAATAAAGATGAGTCACCTTAGTCAAAATTCAGCATCGTAAGTGGCAACAAATGTGACTCATTTGCCATGGGTGTTTTTTTTTTTTTTAAGGTCTTGGTCTGACTAGAAATTGTTAACCTGTTGCGATTTTTCTCAACACCATCAATTTTACAGAGAATGGCCAGAAAAAAAGAAAATATCTGGTGAGAAATGTGTGTGTGAATGCTTTCTAAATGTCAGAGGTAAATGAATAGATCAGTTCAATATTGTATACGAACAACAGAAACTCAAATGGTCATTACGCCTTTTTAAAATCTCATTTTGATGAACATGGCAGCACTGACAAGAGAATTTATAATGTGCAGAGGTGATCGTTTGTGGTTGTGCGACTTTTTCTCACAGGGTGATGAATGACATATTCTGTTGGTTTTATTGCCATGTTTTTTCTCAATACGATACACAAAGACACACAAGATAGTGACATAATAGACAGGAGAAAGTATAAATTTTACACAATTTCTGGATTATCCGGTGCTGTTAAAAGTATTTGGCACTTTATAGATTTCTTCTACTTTTTTGTTTTTTTTCTTTTTGTCTCACATGTAAACTGGCTAACTTAGACAAAGATAGCCAGACTAATGGCAAAAAATAGTTTTCAAATTTTAAGAAAGTTACTGAGAGAAAAAGGCTAACCAATCCAACCTGGTCCTCTGTGAAAAAATTATTCCTCCTCGTGACATCATGAATGACTGTTAAGTCACATTTTTCAAAGCAATTCAAAGCTGAATTAAATGTCACTAATTTCACTAAGATATTGTTATTTGAAACAACACAATAATTGTCTGAGGATAAGCTAAATGAGCAACATTTGAAATGCTGATCTAAAAATGTCTAAAACAAAGCCATTGATATTTATTAGTCTGGAAAGGGTTGCAAAACTATTTCTACAGCTTCGGGACTCCTGTTGAACCACCATCTTTTTTTTTTGTTCATAAGTTCAAAGCATGATAAGGCATTAAAAATGCTTCCAATTGTAAGAAAAAAAATCTAAAACAGCAACAACTCATACAAAAATATTTCTACTGAATGTTTTTATTTTCCTTTAAGTTTATTCAGTAGGTTTTACAAACCTAACAATTTGATTCAAAACTAATTCCAAATAATTCCATCATCACAATTTATGTTATTCACTGAACTTTACACAAACAGTACATCAAAGTTATATTAGAATAGAAAAGCAGCAACAATAAAAAATAATCATGCACATATTTCACATAATTTCCCTTTGTTTTTCAGGTTGCAAGTCTTTAGCGGCAGGTTTGATGATGAAAACATTCAGAAAAAGTACATGAGTAAAACAATAATTTTACACTCAAAATATCCCAATGCACAAAGATATAATTTCACAAACTTCATCTTATGAGAAATAAAGAGAAAAAAGCAGAACATCCTAAATGTCACAGTCGTTATGATAAACGACTGTGCTGTATGTGACATCTTCCTCATTTGCTTCACTCTGTTAAAAGAGAAGTAAGCATGGTGGTCAGCTATGGAAAACAGATTAAGTTTCCGGAATGTAAGAAGTGTTTAGAATAACAAATAAATGATCATTTCTAATTTTAGATGTATCTTTAATATTTGGTTTTACACACTATCTCAGTTTGTGCATGCAGTAAGGAATGACTGACAATCATTTTGTGTGAAATAATGTGACAATTTGATGAAATTGACTTTTTTTCACATTTTGTTTCTTAGAAACAACCAAGCATCCCATCAGAGAAACCAATCCATGTTGAAAAAAACAAACAAACAAAAAAACAGGTAGGAGTACTGGACATTAAGCTAAACACTACAGGTGCATTTTATTCAGTTGCATTCTCGCAAAAACAAGTTGGGTTAAAACAAAAATATAGAGTTTTATTATGGTACATTTACCTGTGGTGTGCTTTCTAATTTGAAACGAACAGCAGTGAAAACTATTTCCCATTCATTCTGGAAAACAAAACAAAACTAAATAACAGAGAAGTGAATATAAGAGAAATAATGAAGATGAACAATTTGAGGCTGTAACATTTAATAAATTATCAAATAAATATCTTTTCCCAATCTAAAAGTTTATAACACTTGTGCTACTTACTGATTTGGGGTTAGTTAAATCCTCTTTGGTGTTCTCTAATTAGGAGAGAAAAAATTAGTAATTTATGTACTGTGAAAACATTCAAATACACTAAATAAAACAATGAATAACAGGAACACAATAAGGTGCCAAACTGAGTGCAAGAAGAGAACAAGACTTACTGCATCTTTGTATAAACCACATGAGCAAGGCCACCAGAACAATCAAGCTCAGCATAGCCAAAGTGATGTGGATACTTTGATCAACAGAAGATCTAAAACACATGTTTTAAACAGAAAGTGTACAATATGATACTTTTTCCACAGTTATGGTATGCATCTATGATATAAAGTAGAGAAAATGGCACACTTTTAACAATAAGTAAAAGCGTTTATCTTTCACTTGTTGTAAATATATAGTATATATTTTAGAATACCGCTGATTTGGGATTTCTCCAAGTCCTGGATCAGTGGATCCTGTAGCAGCAGAGTTTCCTGTGACCTTAATTGTTTCTGTTGTTGTTCGTAAACCTACAATTTAAAACAAAGATTCAATTGGTTGAGTCATGCAGTCTTCCATTCCTAGCTCTGTTTACCCTTCAAACAATTTTTACGAATGTGCTCATCATAGTGTGTGTTTTGTCCTCGGTATTGATCAGCGGTTAAGATGAAAAATTACTGATCAAGAGATGCATCTTAGTACAGTTTATTTTCCAGCACAGACAACATGCTACTTGTAAAATAATATTTGACACCACTATTTCTGCGGCACTGTAGAAGTGAGAATAGAGATCAGCATATATACAATCATTTAGTAAAGACAGAAACTATCCCATAGATAATGATAGAGGTGATGTTGAACCTTTTTATACTGATCAGGTAGAGTTGTGTCTGCTATATAAAGTCATGAAAACAGGATGTACTTTCGCTCCAGTCATGCTAGAAGGCGATGAAAACCTATATGCTGGGCCTCAGAAAGAATTTGGTTATCTGAAACAATAAATTTAGCCATCCTTTTTTGCTTGTCTATTTGCATCATCATCAACGTTTCTTGAGAAGTGACCCCCTACCTTTAGATTTCCTCAACTTGCATTGCTTCACCTTACTTCCTTTTAAAGTTTGTTGGGTAAGCATACTGCAACAAACGTTCTAGGTTTGCAATTAGTGAGTGAAACACTTTTCTTTTTCCACTTTAAAATAGTTCTAAACTACAGAAACTTGAACTGTCCAGTCAAGATATTTTGCACCAACTGCCTTACCGGGAGATAAGCCATGTCATGGGATAGTACTTTTTTAAAAATCAGATAGTATTTGTGTGAGTTACAGAGAAAACTCATCATGCCACCACATTTAAATGTCTCAGCAGATGGTGTAGCTCACAATGCTGGATAAACAAAGAAAAGAAAGCAAGCTGAAACATCTCTGCTGTTGTGTAATGTACAGTTGGGGAAATAATTGTTTAAGTGTATATGTGCATTCATTTACAAAATATCAGTCAGAATGATAGTTTTCTTTTCATGAAAGAAAACTTTTCTATAAATACAGAAAAAAATTATTACATTCCTAGCTCTTAATAAAATTAAATAATTACTTATTTAATCCATGTCATTTAATTAAATAAGTATCAGACACCTTTCAAATAATTCTGGTCCCACAAATTAGTTAAATGAGGGTCTTTGTGACATATGGATAACAGACTGCTAGCCAACCATTGGGTCACAGAGACTCTTAACTCATTGGGTGTATGCTTTACTTGTCCACAGAATCATTTCCCTTTTTTCCCCCCAACCTTTTTACCACCACTGGTCAATAACTCTTTGGCACCAATATGACCAGCTGGGTAAAAATAGCCCATAGAACACAAAACATTTGAGTGACTTGGAGGTCACTCATTTCTTTTAATGAGTGACCTTCAGGAGAGAAAAGTGTGTAGGACAATGACAAGGGGACCTCCGGTATTGTATATTTCCTCATTTGTACATGGAAAATCTATGCATCATTTACCAGTGAGTTTGACAGAGTTGGCGAAACAGTATACTTTTTAAATGTTTTTTTTTTCATTTTAAGAGCTACGTTACTGTGACATAACCAGCTCACACAAGCAACACACCAACCATCTGCCATTGTTATAATTAAACATAAGAACATAGGAAGCTGAAAATTAGCAGACACAAATATTTTGCTGATATATTCACCAATCTCTATTTAATTGCAGTCTGTAAATCACTTACCAGTGGGTTTGACAGTCACAGTCAGGTGAACTGGCATCTGAAAATCTCCTTTATCACAGTAATACCAACCACTGTTCTCTTGCTTCAGTCCACTCATAGTTACACTGATTACATTGCCTATGTCCTTCTTGATGGTTACTGTTGTTCCATCTATTATTCCAGTTGGCTCTGTCACACATGTTTTGTCCAGCTTACACCACTTTATTCCTCCAGAAGTAGAGGAGTTAAAGTTTATGTTTATTTTGTCGCCAATAAATCCAGTCACATTCTGGTCTGCCACCCAGAGGATGGGTGTACCTTGATGGGAAATAAATAATAATAAACATCATTTGACAGCTGAATCTTTGAAAAGTTATTTGGTTTGACTAATAACAAAGCAAATTTTATTAGCCAAATCAGGGAAAATTATGAACCTTTTGGTTTTCCTTTAGATCTTTATTTTATTCTTGTTTACAAGTGTTTGAAATGTGTGTTCAGAAACGTAGCTTACTTTTGTTAATTGACAGATGAAAACGTTGCCCATCATCACCTCCCTTATTGATCTCCACATTGCACCAGTAATAAGTGTCAGCTGTTAACTGTTTTATGGTAACAGTGAAAATTCTTTGAATTTTGTCATCAGAGATTGAATACATTCCTGTTTCCCGTGGTGAGTTTGTTCTAACTTCATATGAGCAGGAATTCCAATGATATCCTTTGCATAGATATTTCACATGATTTATGTATTTTGAATCATAAGAACAGGGGATCCTGACTGAAGCTCCCACTTTCACTGAGACCTTAGTGATTGTGTTCACACTTTTACTTCCTGGGGAGAAAAAGACACTGTGAAATATGCTTTGCATGTTATATCACTCATATTTATGAAACATGAAAAAAAAAAACAATTGCTTAAGGCAAAAATATTTTTGGTGGCGCATTCAGACTGAAGCTATAGTTTTTTGTTTATGCTTTTCGACTCTGCAGAAAAAAAGACTATTAAAAGACCAATAGGAACATGTTTCTGTGAAGGAGACACGGGTGATTTTTTATAATAGTTAACTGACATGTCAATTTACAGCCATCTTTAAAATATAATAAGTAAAAGTCTACAAATGTATTCTGAATGAAAACTGAATAATAACTGAATAACTGCCTTGTACAGTTGGAAAATAATTGTTTAAGTGCATATGTGCATTCATTTACAAAATATAGTTTTCTTTTCATAAAAGAAAACTTTTTTCTATAAATACAGAAAAAAATAATAATTACATGAAAGCAAAAAATGGATTTGCTTTCATGTAAGCAAATCCACTTGCTTACATGAAATTAAATAATTATTTAATTCATGTCATTGAATTAAATAAGTATCAGACACCTTTCAAATAATTCTGGTCCCAAAAATTAGTTAAATGAGGGTCCTTGTTACATATTAATATGTCACAAGGACTTCCCAACCATCAGGTCACAGAGAGTCTTAACTCATTGGGTGTATGCATTACTTGTCCCTTTTTTTACCCCAACCTTTTCACCACCACTGGTCAAGAACTTTTTGGCACCAATATGACCAGATGGGTGAACATAGCCCAAAGAACACAAAGCATTTTTTGTGACATGGAGGTCATTTCTTAGGAAGCTGAAAATTAGCAGACACAAATATTTCGCTGATATATTCACCAATCTCTATTTAATTGCAGTCTGTAAATCACTTACCAGTGGGTTTGACAGTCACAGTCAGGTGAACTGGCATCTGAAATTCTCCTTTATCACAGTAATACCAACCACTGTTCTCTTGCTTCAGTCCACTCATAGTTACACTGATTACATTGCCTATGTCCTTCTTGATGGTTACTGTTGTTCCATCTATCATTCCAGTTGGCTTTGTCACACATGTTTTGTCCAGCTTACACCACTTTATTCCTCCAGAGGTAGAGGAGTTAAAGTTTATGTTTATTTCGTCGCCAATAAATCCAGTCACATTCTGGTCTGCCACCCAGAGGATGGGTGTACCTTGATGGGAAATAAATAATAATAAACATCATTTGACAGCCGAATCTTTTAAAAGTTATTTTAAATTTGCTTTATTAGTCAAACCAGGGAAAATTATGATCCTTTTGGTTTTCCTTTAGATCTTTATTTTATTCTCCTTTACAAGTGTTTGAAATGTGTGTTCAGAAACGCAGCTTACCTTTGTTAACTGACAGATGAAAGCGTTGCCCATCATCACCTCCTTTATCGCTCTCCACATTGCACCAGTAATAAGTGTCAGCTGTTAACTGTTTTATGGTAACAGTGAAAATTCTTTGAATTTTGTCATCAGAGATTGAATGTGTTCCTGTTTCCCGTGGTGAGTCTGTTCTAACTTCATATGAGCAGGAATTCCAATAATATCCTCTGCATAGATATTTCACATGATTTATGTATTTTGAATCATAAGAACAGGGGATCCTGACTGAAGCTCCCACCTGCACTGAGACCTTAGTGATTGTGTTCACACTTTCACTTCCTGGGGAGAAAAAGACACTGTGAAATATGCTTTGCATGTTATATCATTTATATTTATGAAACATAAAAAAAAAAGAAAAAACTAGCTGCTGAAGGCAAAAATATTTTTGGTGGCGCATTCAGACTGAAGCTATAGTTTTTTGTCTATGCTTTTCGACTCTGCAGGGGAAAAAAAAGACTATTAAAAGACCAATAGCAACATGTTTCTGTGATGGAGACACAAGTGATTTTTTATAATAGTTAACTGACACGTCAATTTATAGACATCTTTAAAATATAAAAAGTCTCCAAATGTATTCTGAATGAAAACTGAATAATTTCAGAACTTTGGATCAGAAAGATGATAAAATGTCTGCAAATAATAAGCAAAGTTTAATGTATAGGCACTGACCTTTTATCAGGGTTAAAATAAGAAAACTCAGAGAAAGAGCCATATCAATGTGAAAACAGCAGCGACATCAACTAGTTCAGTAACACTTTGTTGTTGTGTTGCTATACTCAAATAGTAGGAAATAAGCAGCATGAGACGTTGTTCAGCTTCAATTCTTTCTTTACTCTTTTCTTCTTCTCATACAGGATATCTTAGTCACATACTTATTAAGAGCTCCCCCTTCTGTCGTTCCCATGCAACAGCAGAACATAACACACTGACTTCCTACTTCCTTGTTTTTAATGTTGTTATTGTTTTTTAATCAACATTTTATTTGCATGTTAATTACCACATCTTTTATATGGCTTCTTAAGACATCCTCAGTTTATACTCTTGTTCAGCTTGTCAACAGTTAATAATCTGTGACCTTGCATCTGTTTTCTCACCTTTTTATTTTCCTCTATTTTTGGAGCACAAAAAGCTTATTATATAACAGTACATTACAACAAAGTGGGAATTTTATCTGAGGAGATTTAAAATAGGCTTTTCCTGCTACAAACATCACGTTGTATCTTAAAACTCATAAAAAGTGTTCAGACATGAGTGGTTCAAATTGAGCTCCATTTAATAACATCCTAATAAGTTCTAAAAAATGTAAAAATTTATGCCATGCAAACATGTTTAACATGCCCCCACCAAATGCTAAACAGATTACTTCAACCCGCTATGAATTATTTTTAGAATAATCTTATTTTGTTTTACCCAAACATTAAACCTGCAGTTTACACGCCAGGTGTTGATAAATAAAATTGTATATTGTCGTCAGCAGGTGGCAGTGTAGTCCAACTAAACAACAACTGGTGTAGACGTCATGATAACGTGTGATATTCTGAACTATAAAAGTTGCACCACAGAAGAACAGAAAGACTGAAGCCAAGGGTTCCTTGTGGCAAAATTCTTGCATTTTAAAACTGGTAAAGCAAAGAGTAGTTCTGGTAATTACAATGTTCCTACATTGCGGGAAGAAAAAACTATTTTATTTCGGGAATAGACGAGGCAAGAGACTCCGTCTGTATAATTGTTCTTGTCATAGAGGCGGGGAAGCCATAGTACACTGAGAGAACTAATAGTTTATTTCTTTATCTTACAGTTTTCTTCTTCTTCTTCTTCTTCTTCTTCTTCTTCTTCTTCTTCTTCTTCTTCTTCTTCTTCTTCTTCTTCTTATTCTTCTTCTTCTTCTTCTTCTTCTTCTTATTATTATTATTATTATTATTATTATTATTATTATTATTATTTACCGTATTTGTACTCCAGTTGGTCAACATGACGTCTCTGTCGCCTCTTGATGACGTTGTTACGGAACTGCAATTTTTCTGCGCGAAATACAAAGCGACACACCTTTTATTTGGGCGCCTTGTTCAGTTTCCGTTCACAAGAAGTTCCTCGTAGGTTCGGGATCTGCCCTCCGCAGTCAGCGGACTCCTGTCTTTGCTTTCAGGTGGCGAACTCTTCCCGGTTCTGGATGGACTACGGGAAGGAGAGAGTGGTGGCGCTAGTCGACATGGATTGTTTTTACGTCCAGGTGGAGCAGCGTCTGAATCCAGCTCTGAAAAACACTCCTTGCGTGGTGGCTCAGTACAAGACGTGGAAAGGAGGCGGGTGAGTTTCTGACACGGAGAAACAGTTGAGGTGATCGACGCAATTGTTTCTTTTCCAAAACGGAAGTCAACATAACATTTGTTAGCCAACTGGAGCTGTCGTGATTTACTGAGAGAACAGAGAAGTAAATTACATTGTATTAGATAAAATACTCTGTCTAGATAATCTACACTAAATAAAAACGTAGTGTCACATACTACTACATCAGCCACCTCAGCTTCATTATTTACCAATTATAGAATCCTTCTTTCCCATTATGGCATAAGGGGTTGTGTTTGGATTAGATTAGGAAGAACTTCCTTCATTTAATCTGGTCACCAACGCATGTAAAGTTTAGATCGTTGATCTACCAAAAGACAATGATGTGGATGAACTTCTGTGACATTAGTTTCAACATGTCTTACTGAGTTGCACTGATCATTGAAAACATTGTCTCTGTGTTGGAAACTTTCACTTGATGTTAAATCTCATATTTAACTCTCTACTATTGAAGGGGATCATGCAGTAAATGTGGTTCTGAGTGACATGTCACTATCTGTTAGAATCATAGCTGTGAGTTATGAGGCGAGGGCCCACGGTGTCACCAAGAACTTGCGGGTGGATGATGCAAAAAAGCTGTGCCCAGATCTCCAGGTGGCCAGAGTGCGTGAGTCTCGCGGGAAGGCAGATCTAACTCCGTAAGTGCTGTTAGTTTACTCGGCAAACGGCCACATAGTGGTGCTTGTGCTGCTAACCTCTGTTTGAAGTTACAGAGAGGCCAGTGTGGAAGTGATTGAGGTGATGTCTCGTTTCGCTGTGATTGAGAGGGCCAGCATCGATGAGGCCTACATGGACCTGACGGCAGCTGTCCAGCAGCGTTGCAAAAGCATAGCTGATCAACAGATTGACCAACGGCTTCTCAGGACTACTCACATTCAAGGCTATCCATTTCCGGATGACAAGTCCAACCAAGTTGGTGATTCAGCTTTGGATAAAGGTACACTAGTTAGAGATTACTAAGCCATTGTACTGTAACAAGTCAGCATTAAGAAGCTAATATTGAAAGCAGCAAGTCTTACATTTCTAAAAACCCCAAAAATGTTATGTCCGTTAACTTTTTAATTTTATTCTTAGAGCAGAGAAGATCCAGAGGAGTCCAGCAGTGGTTGGAGTCCCTACCTGTCCAAGCTGTGGGAGAGCGGAACTCTGCAGAGCTGCAGCTAACTGTCGGTGCGCTCATTGTTGAAGAAATGAGAGCAGCTGTAGAAAAACACACTGGCTTCCGCTGCTCAGCAGGGATATCTCACAACAAGGTGGGACAAAACTTCACATAATTCTGATGTAAGATCAGAAACTCTTATTGCTGTTCTCATATTTAACTCTGTACTGTTGAAGGCGCTGGCCAAACTGGCCTGCGGTCTGAACAAACCTAACAGACAAACTGTCCTACCTTTGGACTCTGTGACTGAACTGTTTAGCACTCTGCCAATCAGTAAAATGTGAGTTTAATTGTCACTGTCCCACAGAAATTTCACTGATGTTCCAATGCAGAAGTGCAACAGATGACTAATAGAACTATTTCCTCTTATTTGACTTTTGTGCTATGCAGTCGTAATCTTGGGGGCAAAATGGGTGCATCGATAACAGAAACTCTGGGGGTTGAGAACATGGGAGATCTCACTCGGTTCTCTCAGGCACAGCTGGGGCAGCACTTTGGAGAAAAAACAGGGTAAGGAAATACAGCGCCATAAAATGACTTCACAAAAAACAGCTTACAGAATTATTTTTTTAAATATTGTCCTTAGTTTACAATCCTCTTCTTGTATAATAATACTAACAGGAATTCAGTTCATCTTAATTTTGCACTAGAAGTACACATATAATTCTTTGACATAGCTTGATTTCCTTTGTTGCATAATGCTGTTATAAACTTGGATACACAATTTGGAAACCAATGTGGAATTTCAGCATATTTTTTGGTCGTATAAAATCATATAGATGAGTATGAACTAATTATTCCACTATGCACAGTGGAAGTGAGACAAGTTTTTTAAATGTACCAAATGCTAGAGCTTTTAAAAGAGTCCCGTTTAAATATTTTATGAAATAAAGTGTTATAATTGCATGTGTCTGAATAAACGTGTTACATCGACCATTTTCTACAATGCGTGTGTAACTGTTTTGTAAGAAATGTGGTTTTAGGATGTGGACCCTAGAAAAAGTTACTGTTGTCCCTGCAATGTCTAATAGGGATCCAAATGAACAAACATGTTTAATAAATAATATTTGTGAGATTACGACAACTTGAAATTGCCTTTATTCCTCCTCAACGACGAGAGTTACGTAATATTTCTGCTCTGCAGCCCGTGGCTGTATGACTTGTGTCGGGGGATTGAGTTTGAAGCTGTGAAACCCAGACAGCTTCCCAAATCCATTGGCTGCAGTAAGAACTTCCCTGGGAAAACGTCACTGGCCACAAAGCTGCAGGTACAGACCACGAGTTTCAAAAGCATACTTGAACTATTTCTAAATCCAATTTCTGTTTCTTTCAAGACTGAAATATTATTTGAAATGTTTTTCTCTGAAGGTCTTTATTTGTTTATGCTTTTCAAATGTATGTTCATGCTAAATCCAAACCTCTGTGCAGGTGCAGAACTGGCTTCATCAACTGGCCCTTGAGCTGGAGGAGAGGTTGACCAAAGACAAAGAAGTGGTAAGAGAAACTACCATTGTTTCTTTTTGTTTGTTTTGTATTGAGATTGTGATGTTACCCATTTCCATTCCATAACCGCCTGCTCAGTTCACATCAGTGTTTTCTCACTGTCACACAGAACGGTCGAGTGGCAAAGTTGTTGACGGTCGGAGTGCGTCAGCTCGGTGACAAGAGGCCGAGCAGCTTCTCTCGATGCTGCGCCTTGGTGCGCTACGACGCGACCAAAATAGCCAGTGACAGCTTTGCCATTATCAAGAGTCTCAACACAGCAGGAAACCAGCAAGCCGCATGGTAATTAAAGAGCAGCGGTGCTGTGAGGTATTTAAAGGGCCACTTTGAATAAATGCTCTGTGATTTAGACCTTCTGTCTCCCATGTCTCCAGGACTCCGCCTCTGACCCTGCTACACCTCTCAGCCAGCAAATTCAGCGACGCTCCGTCCACAGGGGGGATCACTGGCTTTCTGTCCCATGATCCCACTTCGACTCAGAGTTCCTTCTCTGTGACTCAGACCCCATCCAATACACAGTCAGACTTTAAAAATGTGTCTCCATGCAGTCATCCTGGAACTATACAGTCCTTCTTTCAAAAAGCATCTGGGAAACAAAAACAAGTCAGAAAGGATAAAGAGGAGGAAGATAACTGTGGAAGCTCAAAAGAAGTCTCTTCATCTGTCATTTTAGATGAACAGTTTTCCACTGATAGGCGTTCTAGAACCAAAATCATCTCGGAAAGCCCCCGCTCTGGCATCTCCTCTTTCTTTCAAAAGAAAAGCCTTGAAAGAAACTTTAGGCCGTCAGCCTTACCGATCCCCACGTCTGAATCTGAACCTGAAATCATAGATGGAGATCGCTGTGAAGATTCTGATGCCGTTGCCAAGCACGAACTTCATCAGCCACAATTTAAAGATGCAGGGACGAAACCAGAGACTGAACCAGAGGACCGCCAACCTCCAAGCATGCTTGTGGAAGACCTGATAACCTGCGAACACTGCGGTAAAGAAGTGCTGGTCTGGGAAATGCCGGAACACAACGACTTTCACTTTGCACTGGAGCTCCAGAATTCTCTGTCTTCATCTATTAATTCAGCAGCCAACACTTCCAGTCCCACCACCTCTTCATCCTCTACTGCTTCTCAAGTTGCTCTTGGAGCAGGAGGCACAACGCAGTCAACCCGGGGCAAAACAAAAACAAGAGGCCCGGCAGGCCCTGCTCCAAAAAGACAGAGATCCCAAGGAGGAAGCATGGGTACCTTGGATTCATTTTTCAAAAAGAACTGACCTGAATGTATCTGACTACAGTAAAAACAGTCATCTGTTTTTTTTATTTTAACTGTACACATGTATCAAAAAGCCACTCAGCAAATTTTTCAGTCTAAGCAATCACTCCAGAGTAAAGAAATTATTTATTCAGAACCAGGTTTTTGTTTTATTAAGCTTATTTCCTAACCTTGTAACAATTAAATGTGCTTCTAATACATCAAAGCAGTACACTGCCTTGTGTTTTCATACTGTCACATACAATAAAAGCAGGAATCTGTTTAACTTGAAGATTTCTTAAATAGTGAAAGCAATTAAAATTGAAACACAAACTGCTGGTAAGGTATTCAGACAGTAAATAAGCCAGAGTGCAAGCCAAACTAATCAGGCCTGTACAGAGGGCTAGTTATTAGTGATAAGATCTGCAAATGCAAGCTGCTGTTATGACCTACTTTTAGCCACAGCATTCACAAGAGCACCACTTAATCTTTCATCTGTTAACTTTTAGAAAATAACTTTTTTCATTGGAGGTCGTAGTCCTTTTAAAGCTAAATATAATTGTAAAAAATCTAAGCTAAATGTGAACTCAATTTTTATTACATTTTTTTTATGCAATGTACAACTGAAATCTTCAACAGAAAATATTTCCTTAACATTTAGCAGCCCAGAAACCAGTGATTATAAACTAAACACACTGCAGGGTGAGTAAACACAGAGGAGGCCGACTCAAAGACCTGGAAGATTCAATATGAACAGACTTCCTGGAAAGTTAAGAAAAATGCATTTCTATAATTTACATAGGTCTGAATGACATGACTCTATTTAATATAGAATTATAAAACTGTTAAGCCTCAAGAAAAAGAGGAAATGCGCAACCAAAACCTGAGTCATCCTCCTAACATGTTCTTTAGTTGTAACATTTTCCTCTTGTTAGTTTACAAACAGTTACACATCTTAATTTTTCTTAGAGTATAACCACAATATTGCAACTTTTGAGAATTTTATGTGATAGACCGAGTGAGTGGTGTATAGTTATGAAGTGGAAAGAAAATCGACAAATATTTGTATTCAAGCTTCTTTGAATTGTGAATACTTTTCATGTCCATCCGTCCCATCGTCTGACCAGTTTCCCCATCCCCAAATATGTGCAACTCAATGAACACCTTCACAGGAAACTCCAGAATAATACATTCAAATTTATGTTTGTAGTGTAAGAAATGGAAAATGATCAAGTGGTGAGATTTTTGCAGGTCCCTCTAAATAAATTGCAGCTCTTGAGGAATTTTATCAAAAAGTTGCCTGCAATGCACATTTCCAATAACGCACAGATTTATAAAAGACAGAAGCAAAGCTTGTGTATGATGACAACTGAAAAGGAGAAAACTTTAGTTCCAATTGAAGAAAAAAAAAGGCTCAGGAGGTAATATAGGTTTTATTTATGAACACAAAACAAATTGGATCTGTACATAAAAATTGCATTTCACCCATATAATTATCAAAATATTTTAAACTCGATTAAAAGAAAAATAGATCTTGTACTTGATTTTAAAAGAGAAAAAAACCTGTGCCGTGTTAGAAACTATTACAAATGGTAAAATCTCAAACTACTTAGAAATCTAAAATATCCAACTGAAATGCATTAAAACAAACTAACTGTAACATGAACTCTTTATTAAATGCTATAAATGATTTGGTTGAACTTTTTAACAAAATTTTCTCGACTTTGCAGGTAAATTATTCATTAACAACGTGGGTGCTATGGAACAAAAACACAAATAGAAATATTGGAACCTGTTTCTAGCAGTAGCACCAACCAAAGCGTGTTTGTCCCTCAGCTGCAAAATTTGGGACGTGATGGAAGGCTACTCTGGCAGTAGCTCCACTAGGCACTGTGTTTGAATCCCTTCCAAGTATGTGACATCAGTAACTTAAGAGACGACATCAAGTTCCTCGAATTCCATTGCTTTGAAAGAAAGTTGCATCAGAAGCCATTTTCACACACTGATAAACAAAACACAAATCTTTGGAAAAAAAACCCCAAAAACATTATTCTCTGGCTTTTCTCAAATTGCCAACTCCTCAAAACAGCAACAGAAACCTCAGAGTGGCTCTGTGAAAAGGGAATGCCGTCGCTAATATGTCTGTCCTGCCCTGAGTAACTAAAGCACTTGTGATAGCTGGGAGGATTCTAACAATCTCGCCATACTACTGTGAGGCATTACTTGTGAATAAAAACAGATTCGAACAGGTGTGACAGGAAAACCTTTGCAATCTTGACAGACTGACACGTAACCTCAACAAGGGTTATACATAAGTTCCCATTTACATTCTTCAACTGCCCTCTTCAGCAGCACTAACAGCATTCTGCTTCACTCTAATAAGCTGTGCCTGACACATTAGCGACTTTTATCCTTAAGTAAGTCCACCAGAAGCTTATGGTGTGAGTAGAAAGTAGTGAGAGAAAGAAGTTGATTGTTTGTAGACGTGTCTACAGAAAGTGTGTCGAAAAACAGTTTTCGCTGTCGACTTTCCTCCCACCCTAAATGCTTTTTTTTACCCACCCGCCAGGTCAACATGCCTTTGCTGGTGATTCAGATCGATCTGACAGTTTGTCCAGCGTAGCACATGACTTTTGAAGTATGCAAATTTTGTAGTTTACAAATGCAAAGTTTGCTGGGTTTACCTTCTGTTTGTAAAGTCTGATATAAAAATGGTGAAGCAAAGGCAACAATTTAAAAAACAATGCTAATTTCAACTGTGATACATTTGAGTTTTAAACCCTTTTAAGTGTTTCCTTGGACTGATTTTTTTTTATTTAACATTTTTCTCTCAATTTGCAACCACTGACTAATTTAAAATTATTCCATCTCCCATTGCACAAGTTATAGGTGGTATGTTAGAGTTGGCAGTGTGAAGCTATATTTGAAGTCTAAATACAATTTACAAAAACGTTGAATTCTCATGGCAGTTTGAGTGAATACAACACCTTACACATATTTAAATACTAAGATCCCTGGTTTATCAGGCACTGTGCTGATCAGATTCTGTTGCTCACTTATAATGATGACTTATTTCACAACAGTGATGCCATTTACACCAGGTCAAAATATCTCATTCTTTGCAAAACAGAAAAATTGTTCTTCCACACAGAAACCATCGCTGGCAGTGCACAGTGCAGATCAGTGTATCTGTGTGAGTAAGGAGTGCATTTAGGAGTCAAGTTTATTAGCAGCTCCTCAACACCGATGTAAAATGTTTCAATTGATTTATCTTTTCCCCTTAAAATTGACACATTTTAGTGGGATCTGATGTCTCATTGCCAAGAATTGCAATTAATTTAAACTTGAAAACCGGGACGGGAATTAAAATATCAGTACTGTCAAAGGCTAAAAAAGATAAAACAAGCAAGATGGTAAAGAGGCTTTGGAGACAAAAGAAAAAGAAAAAAATGTTGACAAAAACAACAAGATCCGGCAGCAGATGTTTACTTTGCTAGCAGAGGTCCAAAAGGCCTTTGAGAGGTGTGATGAAGTCCGTAAAGCACCTTGGTTTTTTTGGGGCTGGGACGGAGTTTTCAAAGTTGCGATGATCTAAAAAAAACTTCAGACTTTCTCATCCTGTCCTTGAAAATGTTGGTGGTGATAGGAAATGGGTTGCAAGTTGGTGACATGACCAATACCTTTGGTCACGCCCTCCCTGAAGAGCATCTTAGCCCCCACCTTCAAATATTCAGGGTGTTTAATGAATTTGAAGAGAACCACTGCTTTTTCACCTGTCCTCAGCTCCTCCTGTAGCACAGCAATATTGTAGGAAGAAAAAATGAAAGCAAAGAGCATTATTAACAGAGGGAATTGGTATTTACAGTATAAATGGACTTTTTCTCTTTTGCATAAATAAGAATTAAAAAAAGAAGTAAAATAATCCATTTCCACTACAACCCCCCCCCCCTTTTTTTTACAATATATATAATATTTTATCAGTACAAAAATGTATTATTTACATATTATAAATTTATTTACATTTGATGCACAACTCAGCTCCACACCTTCATCCCTCCTGGATTACTATATATATATATATATATATATATATATATATATATATATATATATATATATATATACTTTTACCATAATCACCTCTTACTCCACCATGCATTTTCCAACATTTTTTTTGTTTTGTGAAATTTCTGCAAAATTGTTCATATTTGTGCATTGCTTTATTAATGTGATTCCATAAATCAACCCCACATAAGTTGGTATACCAAAATTATATGTAGAAAAGAGTTTTAAAATGGAATTGACCTCAAATTTGACCCCCCTACTCTGTCACTTATCATTTGTTGAATGTTTCCTGGAAGTAAATAATTTCTTCTTCCTTTGAAGAGAATATTAGCTGTTTTATATTTAACCAGATCTCATAATTTTTGTGAATAGAAACCTTCAGTGCAGCTACAGAATAACCAGAAAAAAAAAAAAAAAACTATGCAAGCAATCATAGTGAAAAAACTAAAAATCTATGTATACTGTTTTTGATTGCTTTTTAAATACTTCTCACAATAGCTTGGTGAATTAACTAACCTTGCCATAGACAGCTTCCACTGTGGCGGTCTGTCTCACATTTCCAATGTGCACAGTAACCTGGAAGCCTTTGTGGAAGGTCTTGGCATGGAAAAGCAGGACAATCTCAGCCTCAAACATCCAGCAGATAGTAGGATCCATCTCTGGGCTCACCATTACCATACCCTGTCAGTGGCAAATCAGAATCGTCTTCAAATACATTGTGTTTATTGAGGCAACTGACACAAATCTATGTAAACTAACTAAATGATGACTTATTATTAAACAATACAGAAAAATCAAACATGAAAGATGCCTTTCAAACAAATCGCATAACAGAATCTATTTAATAGGGTCCCACCTTGCGTAATAGTGAGCGGTCAAAGTTTCCCAGAGCAAGAGTTGCAGCCTGGCCCGCTCTGAGTACCCTGCACGCTGAGCGGTTTCTTTGAATGCTGCCAACGGTCAGCTTGTGGAACTGACCCAACTCTGTGGGCCCTACTACAAGATGATCCCCCTCGCGACATATTCCACTGAACGACCAGAGACGAAAAATAGGGTTAAGGTGTTGTCCTCAGGATGTTTTGCTTACTTAAAACGGGCATCTTCCCAGACTGACCTGTACAGAGTGCCTCCTACCACTGTCCCCACTTCTGGAACTGTGTAGATCTCATCCACCTGAAGAGAAGCCCACAGTCACGAATCAAATCAAACATATATGCACCAGAAGGAGTGTGTGTACCGCAGCCAGCTGGTTACACATTTGCAACAATGTCAGACTTACTTGAAACTCTGTGAGCTGTTGCATAAGCTCTTCCTGCTCTTTGCTGTTGCTGAGAGGAGGGATGATGTTGAAGAATACCTTGAGCATGTCTAAGCTTTCACCAGTCACACTGGACAAGGTGAAGATGGGTGTGATGCTGCCAAGGACAAGACAAACATCAACCCTGAGTCCAATTTTCCAACATCCATTGTAGCTAGCAGCATGAATTAGAGATGAAACACATATAGGACAGCAAAGGAGAACTAAACAAATAGGGTTTGTGCATCTGGAGTCACACCTGGGCGACTGGGCGAACTGCTGTGCTGCTGTGACTGCGTCGTCGGTGCTGCCAACAACCATGGGCACTTTGTTGCAGCCTGGCTGTTTCAGGACCCGCTCTAGCTGCCGCACCGTGCGCTCCACGGTGGCTCGGGTGCAGAGGTCTACTTTGCTGATAACAATGAAGATGGGGACCTTCAAGGCCATGGCGAGACCCAGATGTTCTCTCGTCGTACCGGCTGAAACATAGTGAGGAGAAGTGGGACACGGTAGTTAAGTAGCCGTTTTTGACTACCTTCAGCTAGTTAAGGTGCTCTTCTGTTTAGCAAATAATCAGAAATTGATTGAGGGCAACAGTAAGGTTAGGAAGAATTTACCTTCCCGTCCAAAAAATCTAATTATCCACAATAAAAAGTTAAAATTCCTATTTGTAAAGTAACTTCTATCTAAGATAGCAGTAGTTTTGTCAATGATGGAGAGTTGTGTTTATTTATAAACAAAGTTGAAACCTGTATCAAAGTCATATACACAGCAGGGTATTTCATCGCTCCAGACTTGTTCCATGTTACCAAAACATTCCAGAGTGCTGATACAAGCCAAGAGCCACTTAAAATACCCTGATCTCTAGTCAGTTCTGCAGGAGTGAATCCATTTGTAGTACATGCTGGGCAAACACAGACAGTTCTTTATTCCTCAATTCAATTCTGACTGCAGTAAATACTTATAAGCAAAACAAGTAAATCATTCCTGAAAGAAAAGATGATTAATCGCCTTTGACTTTCAGGCTTGCGACCTACGACTCAAAGTGATCCCAATGCTTTGCAAGGATCCATTACTCTGTTTCATAATTAAAGCTGGAGCTCATGTTCTGTCCCATCTACGGCGTAGTTAAGATTGTGTTCGTTCTTGACCTCATTTTAGCTGGGGTTTCTCGTTTCAGAGCAGACGTAAACACAACGACAGACCCAGTGCAACAATTTAGAAAAGTGCACTGCATTTAAATGTGGTTAAATGATAAGGGATGCACATAAATATGACTGAGTTGCGATAACCAACAACAGTGGACGGTTGGATTGGATATAGGTATTAAATTTACATCCAGAGCAAATAAAAAAGGAAAATCAACTCACTTAAATCCAGCAGGAGTTGAACCCTAACCGTTTCTCTCAGATGCTGAGCTCTTAAATATGACCTCTGCTATTTGCAATAGGAACACTCTGCAGGTTTACCAACAAATTTGTGTGATTTTTACCTTAGAATTTTGCTTCTGTAATGCTAACACTCTGTTTATTGGGGGTGCTTACAGCACTCTCACCTATATCTGCATTTATAGCAAAATTCACACCTTCAACTAAACACAGAGATCCTGTGCCAACTTCCCTGTCTGTGTAATTAGCATGCCAGCTCAGGTTTCACAGTGATTCTTTCCTGGATGCATGCTTATTGCTCCAAGTCTAATTGCTTAGCAAATGTTTACTAAAGTTGAATCTTTTTTTTTTTTTTTTTTTAATTGATTTGTTTGCAGGAGCCTGGTTTGGAGTCAGACCAGACACATAACTGTGTTGTGTGTGTCAAATAGTTTTTTTTTTTAAATAGATGCTACTGGAGATATTTTGGGACCAGCAAAGATGTGGAGGGTGGAAGCAGAGATGGGTGTTGGAAGGTGGATATGTCATGTAAGCTCAGATGCTACATATCTGCAGTGTCATACGCAACAACTCTGTATGTGTGAGTCGAGTTATTTTCAACTGCGTCATGGAAATATGTGTTAACCATGTAGCAGAGCTGCTCTTTACTTGTGTTACCTGAACAAGTCATGCAAGCTGAGCGTACATTTTTAAATGTATAAGAATCAAATGATTGTAAAGTTTAGTGAACATAAGCGTACCAATGCCAGTGTTTGCGCTAACGACCAGCATAGCAAAGTCTGGACAGTAGCTGGTGAGGCCAAAAATGGTGGTTTTCAGGTACTTGTGGTGACCGGCCAGATCTATGAACGTGATCATTTTAGAGGCACTCTCACAGATCTCCTCCGCAGTGCGAGACTCGCTGTAATTTACAACCTAGGAAAAAGTGAAGGGAGATATGATTATACTGCATGATTCTGCAGCCTATTACATTTTGGTTTGATTAACGAGCTAAAGTAGACATTAATAATACACTTGACATTGGTCATTTCTCACCTCTCCTTTGCTGTTGAAGCCAAGGATCTCAAAGCTGATGCTGGATGTGCGCCCAGTCTGGATTTCATGCAGGTGCCTGAAGAGGTTGAGTCTCGCTCTTCCCCGACCGTTGTCCAGCTCTCCTTGTGTTAAAACACCCAACAGAGTGGACTTTCCAGAGTCCACGTTACCCAGGACTGCCACTCGTAGGTCTAAGAACTTCAGAAGAGGAAGAGCACGGAATAAAAGTTAAAAAGAATCGGTCAGATAATAATAAAATAAATAAATAAACAAAAATTGGACAAAACCAGCATGCATTTCTAGAAACTGAGCTAACCTGCTGATCATCGGGAACCTTTCGTATGAGAACTTCAGCAATCTTCCGAGGAATATCAGAGTCGTATTCTACCTCTCGTTCTCTAAGAACTGCAATGTCAGCTCCCACTCTATTAAAAACAGTTGTAAAAAAAAATTATAGAACTTAAATGCAATCAAATTCTATCATAAAAATATTACACATATTTTATTGTGGAAAGCAAAATGTTGTTTTGTGTTAAGGGCAGCAGAGGATTAAATGATGCACTCATCATTCCAAGTACCGACTGTGCAGTCCTACTGGGATAAAATTACAATCTGGATATGCTTCATGGATCAGCTGTAGCCTCCGTAAGACTACGTGCCCAAATATAAAGTAAGCAGGCTATACTAATATACTAAATGTTCAGATTGCTATCTGAACATTTCAGATGTTCTAGAGTATTTCAAGGCGTAAATGCAAGGAAACATAAGGCTGTGAAAGAGTGACTAAGGTTGTATGGAGAGATCCTTCTTACACCTTGTCCACTCCCAACCGCAAATAGAAGATCTTGCAGAAAATGAATGCTTCATGACGTGACATACAATATTTAACAGTCACACGATGCCCCAGTAAACAAGTTTAGGGCCAAAGGTTGCACAACAACATATTATTGCCCATCTGGTTATGCAAGCATAATAAAAGCATTATGATGCTTTTATTATCTAAGATAATAAAAGCAGGACTCACTTCTCGGCCAGCCTATGGAGTGTTTTCAGTGATGCTCTCATGTCCTCCTCTGACAGTCCCACCAGCATGCCATTGTCCTCGACACCTATTTGATAGACGGCTTCGCCCCGACCCTCCTGCAGTCGCCATTTCATTTGTGTTGCCAGGTGCTCAAAGCGGTTTTGTGTGGGGTTCACCAGCTTGAGCTAAAAATGACAAAATCTTTCGACATTATTGCTGGACTTAAAGCCAATCTGTAAAAGGTCACAAACTGAATGAGTTGTTGAACATTAGTAACAGACAATATGTACACATATATAAAACTTAGGTTTAGTGTAGGACTAGAGCAAATGTTGAGTTACTAAAAATAATCCTGCTAATCCACTTGGCTGTTGAGTTTCCACAGAGAGAGATGCAACTATGATTCTCCTGAAGTATTTCTCTGTTAGACTTCTAACTACGTGATTGTGAAAGAACAAAAAAAAACAAAAACAAAAAACAAGTACTGCCAATTACATGGCTGATGTACATCAATCATTTTTGAAATATTTAGTGACCTGCTCTTTAAAGAAAACCAAAACATAAAACAAGGTTCTCGCTTACCTTGTATTCTATGTTTCCCTCTTCAGCCTGAGAGACAGGATAGTAAAACAAAGAGAGACAGAAGAGGAACAAATGCTGTCAGACAGAGAATTGCAACATTTGTTCAAAGATAAAGAGAAAACCAATCTGACTGAATGAGCAGTAAGCACCAGGCTGTGAATAGTCTGGCAATGACAGCTAAACCACAGCTGCCCTTATTATACATGTCTCTTCTATACCATTAGGAGCAATGTTTAAAACCAATGGCAATTAAAGTCAAGTGCAATTACTTTATGGGACAAACACTTTATGGTTACTGCAATACAGCTGCTAATATTCAGCGGATCTGAGGCTGAAGCCAATAAAATAGGAGATGGGCGCAAATACAGATTGATTTAAAGTGTAACCTGTTTGCCAATAACTTTTAGTAATGTCTAGAAGTTTAAGACAAGTCCATCTGTGTTTATTACTACACACAGATACCTAAATATCCATTAGTTGGTTTTAATTTGTTTCAATAAAGTCACGGGAAGGTGTTTGACCCACAGAGTGAACGTCGGTCAAGGTTTGAGCGCCTCCCTTATTTACAAACACAGCTGTTCCTCTTTAAGGCTAGCTAGCCCACTGCTAATATAAATAATAATAATAATAATAAAAGACGATACAGCCAATAATTGCACAAAACAACTCTGTTATATGATAAACAATGAGTGAAACTTGGGCCACTTTGACCCAAAATAGACCGCTCACATGTTCCCTTTTGTTCACTACGTGTCACTAGTTTCAGACAGAAAAGTTAGCATACAGGAAATAACAGCAAACATTTGCGTTTCTGTGCAGTGGAAGCCAGAAGGCACATATTTCCTGTTTGTTTTTTCTAGATTTCTTTAGTGTCTCTCGTATGACTTCATTTCGACTCTTTAATTGTACTTCATAGGTCAACATCAGCCTTACCTCTGGGGGTAGATACGGGGTGTTATTGCTCGGTCTGAAGTTGCGGGGATATCGCGTTCTTGCTTTCTTGTTCTTTGCACCAGTCTTTTTCGAGACGACCCCGTTGCCATTTCCTGGCTTGTGGTTCGACGTAGATCCCTGAGGTCCACCGGAGCTGTGCCCGCTTGCTGACCCAAATAACTCCGATACCCGCGCATCCATCGGCTTCTTTTGGACCGAGCTTGCTAGCTTACCTCAGTCTGTCTAAATATGCTGCTGTTATATGGGGGGGAGCATCTAGGCCAGGCATGTGTGCGCCTAGATTTGAATAAGGTCACACTTCTGATTATCGATTACATTCTCCACAATATTAGCAAAGTCTTGGCCTCCCCCAGAATCTTCAAATCGAACAATAACACTAGCCCCAACCCTGAAGTGCTGTATCGTTTTAAGTTTTCAGCAACCTACGTCACATTACGAAACGCGTTTAGGTGCGCTTGATCTAAGACACCGCAAAGCGCGAGTGAGCGGTTCGTTTTGTAGAGGCGGCTTCCACAGCACTTTGTGTAGGTTAAACTCCGCCCGGCTAACTGGAGAGATTCGCAAAACATTCTCAGATAGGTGCACCGTGTTGCGAGGCTTTGCATCAGACGACACCGAAAAGTACCTTTTGTTTACAAAAGATTATGAGTTACAAATGATTTTTTTTCACCAATAAATGGCACAAAGATATTACAAATGGCAAACCACATTAGTGACCATAGTGAAAAGTAAAATTGAAAACGCTGTGAGTTATGCCTCATTGCTTAATTTGTGCTTTGTAAATGGTATGATGACATAATGACATGGTAATATGTAATGACTTTTTAAAATGGTTCACTTATGTAATAAGAACAATTTATATTTTAAAAAAATGTTAATAGTACTTTAGCTAATGTGTTTCTAGGATTAGTCAAATTGAACTCCCCTGTTGAGTATTGTTGACATAGAATTTTAAGTTAGCACAATACTGCACAGGATAGCTTTGACACATATAAAATATAACATAGAAAGTTAAAGTACACTCTAGGTTCATACAAATTTAGATGAAACTAAAAACAACGGCTCAATCTCTGAAACGCAGATAAATTCTTAAAAGGAGGATCAGACAGAAAAAACAGAAAACGTAGGCCTAGACTCCTTGGATCTCTTGAGATAAGGAGCCTGTATGCCAGGCAATTAACAAATTCCTGAGCATGGTTCAAAAGTTCACTAGGATCTTAAAACTTTTATAAATAATTTTATCTATATTAGAATTAACTATATTTCTTTAAGCATGTTTTTAAATAGTTACTTATTAGATCCAAACTTATAGTCATTATTTAGCATTACATTGTGTGCAAGCTTGGTTAAAAATACAAACGACTTTTTTGTGAAAAACAGCTTGGGGAAGAGATAGTGCTGCAGCTGCACTCTATATCAAACTGGACAGCGGCAGGTACGAAAAGAGCCGGGCCATATATCTGCCTTTGGGGCTCTTGAGCAGGAGGTAATAAAATTAACATTAAGACAGCCCACACAAAGAAAAAAAACACCTCCTAATGCATATATTTAAATGATGAGATTACGCATTCTATAAAATGATTTGGTTTACAGCAGAAGTTCGAATCGCTTGGTGCTGAGTGAGTGGTTCCCAAAAATGCATTTTTGAATCAGGTAATATTCTGTTTTGTCATTGGGTGTTGGCTTTTTGATATATCTGGGTGTAAGTGGTGTTCTGTTATTCTGTATGTATTTGTATTCACCTTTGGATAAAGTTATGGATATCTGAAATCTGACGTTGTATGATTGGTCTATTCTCTCTGCACACTTACACAGACACAGGAATTCGGGACAAAGAATTAATTAAAGAGCTAAATCAAGTTCTTCATCTTTTTAATTCTTAACAGTATCAAAACTATTGTCAAGTTTATAATACATGCAAAAATAATCACAATGCCTTAATGCCTTGAAACTAAAACAAATCTACATGTCAGTGTCAAGAGAAAGAATTTCAGAGATGATGGCATATTAACACAACCTGCCAAATAATAATAATATAATAATAATTAATAACTCATGCTGCCTTTCAGGATGAGTCACTAATATGCAAGCCAGACATATTTTGAAAACAACTTTTGGATTTCACAGATATCTGTTTATGGCTATAACGTGAAAGTCTAGGAGGTTTTATTTCACACTCTCAGGTAATAATTTTTAGATAAAACAAACGTTTTTCATGACTATGTAAGTCAGAAGTTGTGTGAGAGCCAACAATGTAATAATTGTGATGATTGAATGAATTGTTTATGTCCACTAGATGGCAGTCGCAGTTATATGTGATTGCATAAATGTCAAGAATAGGACAACAGAAGTAGTCAGTCATTAGTGAGACACCTGTGTGCAACTTGTATGAGCAAACGAGCCAGAGCGACTTTAATAAAAGCATCTAAGAAGAAGCACAACGTCTGGTTCTTATCAAGCACGAACAGAACATGGTGTCAGGAGTAAACTGAAGGGGTGAATTGAAAAGCCGACCATGGAGCTGAAACCACCGGAGAGCTTAAAGCTGACGGGAAACGTGGATGAAAACTGGCGTACTTTCAAACAACGCTTTCAACTGTATGTCGCGGCAATGGGTTTGGAGACGAAGCCGGAGCCAAGAAAGGTAGCGATGTTGCTGACCATAGCGGGAGTGCAGGCTTTGGAAGTCTACAACACATTTGTGTTTGATGAACCTGAAGACAAAGAAAAGTTGGACGTTGTGCTGAGTAAATTTGATGCTCACTGTTCACCGAAGAAGAATGAATGCTACGAGAGATACGTGTTTCGTTCCCGGATGCAGACTCAGCATGAACCCTTCGATAACTTTCTGACCGATCTGAAAGTAAAAGCGCAGTCATGCAATTTTGGCCTGCTGAAGGACTCGATGATCAGAGATCAGATCGTCTTTGGTGTACGTGACGGGAAGCTCAGAGAGAGACTGCTGAGAGAACTGGAGCTGACCCTGGAAACAGCTGTAAAGATGTGTCGGGCAAGCGAACTGTCTCTGCAGCAAGTGAGGACATTTTCTGAACTTTCAACAGGAACTACTTCACAGTTCAGTGATGGAGCAGCGGCAGTGGGAGCGGTGTCCTGCCACAAGAAACGACATGCACAAACCAGGCAGCTGCAAGAGGAAGCCATTATCAACTGTAAGCGCTGTGGATCAAGGCATAAAGTGAGACAATGTCCTGCTTATGGTAAGCAGTGTTTAAATTGCCGTGGACAGAATCATTTTGCAAAGCAATGCTTTAAGAAGAGGAAAGAAGAAAAGAAGAGGAATTGTGTAAACTTAGTAGATGAAACTGACCTAAGTGACACATTCTTTGTCGGTGTTGTGAATTGTGAAAATGAGTCAGAAAAAGTGCAATGTGTTCACAGAGATGATAAATGGACAATTCCTTTGTTAGTAAATGGAACCACAATTAAGTTCAGATTGGACACAGGTGCAAAGGCGAATCTCATAAGCATATCTGATATAAAAGAAATGCAAGTAAAACCTCACATAAAAGAAGTCAAGTCAGGTCTAAGAGACTAATGGACAATCAATTGAGTGTATTGGAACATGTCAGTTGAATGTAACAGTTAAAGGAACAAAACATCTTGTGTTCTTCTCTGTTGTAAAAGAGGATCGAGAATCACTTTTAGGTGATAAATCTTGTGAAGAACTTGGACTGGTGAAAAGAGTCTACCACATAAACACTGAATTTAATGAATCTAATAACCCGATTGATGCAATGCTTCGGGATTATGAGGATGTCTTTCGAGGATTAGGTTCTGTACCCTGCACATATAAGATTCAGTTAAGAGAGGGCGCGCAGCCTGTTGTTCATGCTGCACGTCGCATTCCAGCGCCACTGCGAGAGGGGTTGAAAAATGAGTTGGATCGAATGATCAGGTTGGGAGTCATTCAGAAAGTGGAAGAGCCCACAGATTGGGTTAATTCCATCGTGATTACAAAGAAGAAAAATGGAGAATTAAGAATATGCATGGATCCAAAAGATCTAAATGAGAACATCAGAAGAGAACATTATCAAATACCCACTCGAGAGGAAATAATCAGTGAAATGTCCGGAGCAAGTTATTTCACCAAGTTGGATGCATCACAAGGATTCTGGCAAGTAAAGTTGGAAGAAAGCAGTACCAAGTATTGTACTTTTAACACACCTTTTGGAAGATACTGTTTTCTAAGACTTCCTTTTGGAATAAAATCTGCACCAGAAATATTTCATCGAGCAATGGAGAGGATCATAGAAGGCTTGAATGGAGTAAGAGTCTACATTGATGACATCATCATTTGGGGATCAACTGTTCAAGAACACAATGACAGATTGAGACGCGTCATGGAGCGCATACGGAAAAATGGACTGAAGCTCAATAAAAATAAATGTGAGTTTTGTGTCAAAGAAATTATGTTTCTGGGAGACAAACTATCTGGACGAGGTGTTCAACCAGATGAAGATAAAATACAAGCCATTTTAAAGATGCCACCGCCTGCTGACAAAACGGGTGTTCTGCGCATCATGGGCATGATTAATTTTATAGGAAAATTCATTCCCAATTTGAGTGCAAGGATGACTAACATTCGCAGACTCTTGTACAATGACAGTCAATTCCAGTGGACAGAAGTTCATGAACAGGAGTGGAAGGAACTGAAAAAATATCTGACTTCAGAACCAGTGCTTACCTTCTACGACCCTACTAAAAAATTAAAACTGTCGACAGATGCCTCAAAAGATGGACTTGGAGCAGTTCTTCTTCAAGCTGAGAATGACAAATGGAAACCAGTAGCTTATGCATCCAGAGCCATGACAAAAGCTGAATGCAGATATGCTCAGATAGAAAAAGAATGCTTGGGGCTGGCTTATGGGCTAGAACGGTTTCATAACTATGTATATGGTTTACCATCTTTTGTAGTTGAAACAGATCACCGACCATTGGTTGCCATCATTAAAAAACATCTGAATGAGATGTCACCCAGGATTCAGAGGCTTATGATGAAGATGCAGAGGTATGAATTTACACTGATCTACACTCCAGGAAAACATCTGATTCTTGCTGATGCTCTGTCTAGAGCCCCTGCACATGATAGTGTGAGTTCAACTGAAGAGGATATTCAATGTCATGTGAATTTGGTGTCCAATGTGTTGCCTGTATCAGATAGAAAGTTACAGCAAATAGTTGATGCAACAGCTAAGGATACAGAGTTACAGTTGGTCATACAGAATATGGATGAAGGATGGCCAATAGGCTCATGTTCACAGTTTTTCAATGTTAAAGCTGATCTAAGTGTTGTGAATGGACTGTTACTGAAAACAACAGAATAGTGATTCCACAAGAGTTAAGACAGGACATTCTACAGCGAATTCATGAGGGTCACCTTGGCATTGAGAAATGTAAAAGAAGAGCTAGAGAATCTGTTTTCTGGCCTGGACTAAATAAGGACATTGAGGTGCTGATAAGTAAATGTGAAACATGTCAGACATTTAGAAACAAACAGAGCAAAGAACCGATGATAATATCTGACACTCCAACATCACCATGGCTAAAAGTTGGAATGGATATTTCATCTTAAAGGAAAAGACTATTTAGTGATCATTGATTACTATTCAAACTATCCTGAGATGGCTCTGTTGGCTAATATGTCATCAAATTGTATCATAACGCATGCTAAATCAATCTTTGCAAGGCATGGCATTCCACATGTTGTAGTGAGTGATGATGGACCATGTTTTAATAGCAGAGAATGGCAAAGGTTGCAGAAACAATATGATTTTAAGCATGTAACATCAAGTCCACATTATGCACAATCAAATGGAAAAGCGGAGAAAGGAGTTCATATTCTTAAGCAACTTCTGAAGAAAGCTGCAGATAGTAACTCTGACCCGTATTTAGCTTTATTAAGCTATAGATCATCACCAATGTGAACCTGCTGAACTTTTGATGAATCGAAAGATTCGTACAACTTTACCAAGTTATGACAATAAAGGGCAAAGAGCAAAGAAATTGTCAAAGTTGGAGTACAAGTTACAAAAGCAGAAAGTAAAACAAAAGTCATATTATGACAGATCAGCAAAGCTTCTACCCCCACTGTCATACCAGGACCCAGTAAGGATCAGGATGATGAGGGATGGAAAACGAAAGCAACTATTCTGCAGGAAGTAGCTCCACGTTCATTTGAAGTGAAAACTGAAGATGGACAAATTCTGAGACGAAATCGTCGCAGTTTGTTGAAAACTCCATTTGAACATGTTGATGAGTCGAGTGAAGATTCTAAGGACTCTCAGATTACTCCTACAACTGAAACGCATTGTGACATGGACAGTATTAAGGATAATACACCACCTGTGTTAAGAAGATCTACCAGAGTGGTAAAGAAACCTGATACACTGATTATGTAAAAAAAAAAAAAAAAAAAAAGGGGGGAAAAAGAGAAAAACAGAAAAAAAGTTGAAATGTATGTAGTTTGTAATTCATGTTTTTAATGAGTACTAAGTAAGATAGGTTAAGTGAATTTTATTATAGCTATGTGATATTATGTGCTATCTGTCTCATACAATGGTTGTTTAATTTTAGAGAGTATTCATGTAACATTCTAACTTTAAAGAAAGGAGGATGTGATGATTGAATGAATTGTTTATGTCCACTAGATGGCAGTCGCAGTTATAGGTGATTGCATAAATGTCAAGAATAGGACAACAGAAGTAGTCAGTCATTAGTGAGACACCTGTGTGCAACTTGTATGAGCAAACGAGCCAGAGCGACTTTAATAAAAGCATCTAAGAAGAAGCACAACGTCTGGTTCTTATCAAGCACGAACAGAACAATAATATTCAAATAAGTAAAGCTGTAAAAAGTAAAAGCATTGTACTATATAAGAAATTTGCCACCAATTTTATGTTCATTATATGATAGTTACTGTTTACAGAGTACAGTAAGTTCTATTTTGTTTTTTGCTCTTTTGCTTATGTTTAAATTGAACATAGTGTGTGATATCGATGATCATGTCTTTCCTCTAGATTACAGATCGATGGTTTCATTTTTTTATATTGTTGAGATTCATTGAGTTTTAATTGTTGACTCATTGAGATTTATTTAAAGTAGTTCATCTTTAACTGTCCCTCCTTGTTAGTGCAGATGTATGAAATCTGAGAGTGGGCCAGCCTACTCCCTTGAGTGAGATGAATTCTGGCATTTGTGAAACTCAATTCTGATTGGTCACAAATCCTGCGATGTTAGGGCTCAACCCATTCCTTCTTGACTGAGAGAAGTGTTTGGGGATTTCTAAGTCTTTTTTTCTTCTGTAGCTTTCCCAAGCTCTACATTTCAACTCAAAGCTTCTCTGTAGCTGTTCCCTTTCGCCCACCATGAGTCGTCCCTTGGTACGCTTGCTCCTTGTTGGGCTGCTTCACCAGACCACGATGGCCGTCCAAATGGATAAACTAGCAGATCGCAAGATGTGCGGAGATGCAGAATGTTCATGTAAGTCTGAACATTACTGACAGAGCTGTTAATTATACATAATTGTAATGTTGAAACGAAACTTAAATCAATAATCAAATGACACATAATTTATGTAAGTTATGTTTTGTGTTTGCTTCATAAGATGTTCTTTCAATGGCCACGGCTGTGGATGACTTCATGGCTCCTGACTGTAGATTCATCAACATTAAAATGGGTCAGATGGTTTATGTGTATTCTAAACTCATACCACCAGATGGCGCTGGAGTATTCTGGTATGGAAGTGTAGGTGCATATTTATTGAAATCCACATATTAGCAAGCTACACAATTAAATATTCTTGTTGCCAATATATTATAACTTATTACATATTTTCTCTTTTAATAAGTGCTACATATAATAAATGTGTTTGTTTTGTTAATTTTGTTTCAGTTTAAATGTAAAGTAAAAAAATTTTACTGTACATTTAGACTGCAATGCTGTGTTTTGTGTCAGGTAGAACGGGATATTTTCCTGCAACTGTGGTGAAAGAGACCAGGACATTTACAGACAACACAGTTTGGAAACAAACCACTGTGAGTGTAGGCCTTTCATTTAAATATTTCCTGTTTGTTTTTGTGAATATATTGTGCCTTTAACCTAATATATATTTTTTTTATTTTTAGGATATGGACTTCTATTGTGATTAGTGGGCAAGAGACTGAATATTTTGGAGTTTTCCTTTCAATATCCTGTTTTTTTTAAAATATAAAGAGCACTCATCTCTGTCAAATTCATTCATTATGTATAAAAATTATTTGATGGATTGCATTTAGGAAGACAACTTTAGATTTTTCTCTCTTTGCAGCACTTTTTTCTGCCTTTGCTGTTTACATAAAATTTAAAGTTCAAGTGATTTTTTTAAGTAATAAAAACATATGTCTCTTCGAATAAAAAACAATAAAGGGACATACTTCTTTTCAGCGATGGGAATTGGGTAATCTTTTATTTCTGTCACATATTATAAAATTAAAAATGCCATAATAAGCATTAGCCATAATTAGTTGCCTTCATGCTGAATAAATCAGATTCTGGCTTTTACATGAGATGTGCATTGATAATTATACAACCTTGCTATGTATCCACATGATAATGTTAAAGTTAATAGTTATGCAGTACAGAGATGTGATGACTGTTGTGGACAACAAAGAAAAGCCCCCAAATCCTGATAGAACAGATAATCAGAGAGACACAAATGTTAACTCAAAAGTGAAATCTAATAATAAGTGTATAGACATGTTACAAAAAGTTATTTTGACACATAGGAGAACTGCACTGCAATGAACTGAAGAGATTCAAACAACAGAAATTAAAGTAATAATACTAATTTATTCATCACTTTATTAATCCATATCCCACATTACTTTGGTTTGTTGACAAGAATTCAATGGTTCTTTAGGGGTCATTAATGACTAAGCAGGACCATAAACACCATGGGACACAGCAAACACACCAGGTTTCTCTTTAATCCATCACCTGAAAGGGAGAAAGAGGATACCACAAATTCTACCATGACAAATCTACCATGACATGACGATCTACCTAAGTGAACAGGCTGTGGAAAGAGCATTAATCAGAGAAGCAGTCAAGAGTCCCATGATGAGCCTTGAAGGGCTGCAGAGCTCCAAACAAGAGGTATAATCAGGGAACAGAACATCTGCTGCTTGTCCGCTCCTCATATCTAGGCTGAAATTGGTAAGAGGAAAATCAGTTTTAAGCCAAAATCATAAATTGTTATGTCATAAAATGTTGGTGACACAACAAACCTATGGAAGAAGGTGCTCTGATTCTGAATCTTTTAGGCTACAAGCAATTGAAATTTATCTTGGAAATGATGTTGAAAGAGGCTTTGCTTTTAGTCTGATTGAAACTGAGCTATTTTGCGGATACTATTTTGTGAAAACTTTTAATTTATGGATGTGCAAAGCTCACAAAGATATACCCAAAAAAGAGACCAACTGCTATCATAGCAGTCTAAGGTGGTGCAACAAAGCATTGACGTAGTGTGATGAAATACATATATTTGTCACATTTTAAAAGATATTTGTTTAAAGAAAAGAAACAAAAACTAGTAGAATTTGTCTTCCGTGCCCCAACTATGCTCCCATTTGTGTTTTTGAAAAAAGTATAGCCAGAATGAATTAAATTGAAGCATCTGTTTTTAAAGTGATGAAATGTAGAAAAGTTCAGAGAGGAAGGAATGTCTTCAGAAGGCACTGTAACACAAATTGTGTACTAGAAATAAAACACCATCCCCGTAGAAATATTTAAATATTTAGCTGGTTCTCATTTTGTGACAAATTTTATTTTCCTTTAAAACATTTTGTCTGATTTTTTTTTATGTCAGAAGATTTTAAGATGTATAAATATCCTTTTCCCAAGATAATTACTTATCAACTTGTTTGAGTGCACACATGCACCAGTCTACCCACACATGCAGCTGAAAAACAATCATGATTAAACACAGCCTGACATAATGTTGCTTTTCAGGTTGTTCCTGAATGATGATTAAATCTCTCTTTTTATTGGTATCTCATTTTTGTGTGTAACAGCACCAAGCCAAATATGAGCCTGAATATAAAACCTTAATAAAACCTCCCTTAGCTGCATCAGTGGGTGTTAAAAAGACAATCTTGTTTCTCTGTGATATCACAAAACTTTATGTGACAACTGTTTATTCTCATTAGTTTCTACCTGCGTGGCTTGAGGCACTCTTGGAAGGGACAGCTTATAGGTTTAGGAAACAGGGCTGTCACATGCAGTATCGATCTTCTCCTGTTCCCTTTCTGTTGAAATCAATGAAATGCATTAAATGTCCTCCCACAAAATGTCACTCTGCAGAAACCCACCTGAGGCATGCATGTCAATGCAATATGCGATAAAAAAAAACAAAAAAAAACAAGGTAACAAAAACAGCATACCTCACCATGCAAGACTTTTGAAACAAATTGGGATCATTAGACAGTATTCAGAAAAGTGATTGCTTTGAGCCGTCCAAAAGAGGTAGAAAGCTCAGCATCTTTTTGGCTGATTGCAAATTGAGGTTGAGTGCCTGTGCGTGTGTGTGTGTGTGTAGGTGTGTGTGCCTCTTCATGAAAAACAGACACATCACAATAAGTTAAGTCAATCTTTCAGGAGACAGCTGTAGCTTTTGGCTGTTGCCGTCATTATGGGCAGGGGTACTGTGACACAGGAGATTGATGCATGTCCACTCTCATAAGTGTATGTGTGTGGATTTACTGCGTGAGCTCAAAGGAGCAGCTGCAACACACAAACTACAGCGGATTTTACCCTCTCTCCTCTTTTCCATCCAGTGTCAGACTCACACCCACAACTCTACTGCCAGCGACGGAGACCTGCCAGTCTGCACCATTTCAGAGGGAAATTTTAGGCGAAGGAAACATGAGTCCATTGCTGCATAATCCACAAATCTCTTTTTGTTAATGATAATTAACAGAGGATCATTTCACAAACAAATAAAATACTCCAGGGAACTGAAAAAATACCCACTCTGTCTAGGTTGATTTTGAAACTACATCACCTATCTCAGTTTTAACTGTGAATCTCTCTGAATTAAAAGGACTGAAACAAAGATCATTTAAAGTGCAAACATCCTGTGAATCTCCCCAGACAGAGGATGAATCAGAATAAGTATTTTTTATTTTTTTGTTTGAAACAGCTCATTTCTTTTAATGAGCAAACAAGCAGCATTGCTCCCCTGAGAGAGAGAGAAAGAGAGCAAGAGAGAGAGAGAGAGAGAGACAGAAAAAACTTATTTACTCAGGACAATGACAGAGCTTATTTGCTTTTCTGAAATGTGATGGAAGAGTTTCTATTTTGTGCACCTATTCTTGACTTTCACCGAAACTGTTTTTGTCTTTTAGGTGCTTTAACAATGGGATTTGTCAGCTCGAATTATCCTCATGAATGCCAAGAAATGCCAGCTCTCTGCCCCTGTGATTTAATCAGTCAATCAGTCAGCAAAAATCTGCCGTTAAAGCTTGACGTGGGGCGGCGGCTTCTAACTTGATTGATGGTGTCAACTCTTCAAAATGTATTTGTCAATCTAAAGTTGCTCTAAATTCGTGGACCCATGCAAAAACCATGTTAAATTACCTTGCAAATGAAACTATGATCTTGAATCTTTTCGGTATATATTTTAAATGTCGGAGGAAAGTGATTTATGTTTTCTTCTTTTCCTGCAAATAAAAATCTGGTAAGTGTGGCATGTATTTCAATGTATCTCCATTACATAATAATTTGTAGAGCCAATAGTAAGCACATTTACTCTCCAGACAAAGCTGCAAAGCTCTTTTAGTATGTCAATGTAAAGTTTGCAAATCTATAGAATTATTTTCTTCCTTCTTTGCAAAAATGCTCAAGCTTATTCAAATTGTAAAGCATTCATAGACATTAATGTTTTTACTACATGTATGAAGCTGATATCAGATGAATTAATTCTGCTTTTGTTCCACATCTGATCGGTATTTAAGGCAAGGCAATTCAAAGCAAGGCAAGGCAAGGCAATCATATATAGCTCATTTTAGCCAGAGATAATTCAAAGTGCTTGTACAAAAAACTTTAAAAACAACGTACAAGATAAAAAAAAAAAAAAAAACCCATGACAACAGATTGTGATTATATATTTTTTTCAGTATCCATGTGAACAAAATGTTGACTATAATATACACATGACCTCTACTAATAACTTTTATCGCCATTATTAGTTTTTACTTTGGGAACTTCTTGTTTCAGTTGTGATGCTTTTGCTCTGAAGTTCCGGGAGTCACGTATCAAAATGTGAGAGAAAGGTCAGAGAGCTGTGCATACTTTGGCAAGCGCAGTATGCACACTATTGCCATATTTAAGTGACAGGTGTTGGTGTAGCTTGAACAATTTCATTTTCTGTCACTATCTTTGTACCACTGGAGTTTCTCTCTGTGTCTGTACTTCATCTCTGACTCAGATAATTGCTTAAGTAAGTGTAATCCCCCCATTTTCTCACCTTTTATTTCTTGTGAGCTCAGCCATCCAAACAGATCAGTATTGCCCCATTCAGCATTTGACTGAACTTCCCATAATGACGTAAAGAAGATATTTTAGATCCTGCACCTGTTACTAAATGTAAAGGCTGTACACACCTTTGAAGTAGTGATAGGTTCACACAACCTGCATTAAATCCTTCTAGATAAATGATGTAGCAGAAACAAAATTGCTGTGGGCAAAAATGTGGATAATTTACAGACAGACTGGATATTGACGACCTTTTTTTCCTCATCTCAACTGCCACTAATGTTTCTGTCACACTTGAATAAACCCGTTCCTCTCCTAGAACTGTGTTCTCACCTTCTAAATCAGAAAAAATAAAAAATAAAACTCCTTTTGTTTTGCCAGTCACCAGGGTTACACAAAGATTCAGCCTGAGGTTGGGGTGGGCATTTGTCAAACAACAGGTCCTGTGTAAGGCGGCCTTCAGCTACGAACCAAAAGAAAATTAATTTGGAACGTTTTAGCATGCCTATTCAAGTCTTTTCATAAAACTTTTTTTTTTTTTTGCCAGAAGATTATTTGGTTTCAAAAGAAATCGTTCAGTCCCCGGTGAATAATAATGAGGTATTGACAATCCTTATGTAATCTATTCAATTAAATATTTTGTTGATTAACTTTTGTTATACAAATTGTCACCAGTCCATCGCAGGATTTGATTTAAATTGAATTCAGTTAATTTACATAGTGCTGTACATATTCACAGAAAATGCCATCTTAAGGTCCCTAAGCAAATAAACAATCCTATTTATATGCAGTGTTTCACACAATGCATATCTGAATGTTAGCTTTTAACACCACCACTGCATTATGCACTGATGTAGCCACTAACTCAGCCAGGTTTATCTTGCAAATGAGAATTGAGCATGACCTGCTA